GTGAACTGCTGGTAGACCTAGGTGGCAGTGATAAAATCAAGTATCGTTTTTCATCAAATACCTCAGGATTAATGCCTAGAGGATTTTGTGAATGAATATATTATGTTATTTTGTTCTGTACAACTGCTGTTAAATTCATATTTTTTAATCACTAAATAGTAAAGCAGCCTTTACGTTCCATGAATTACAACAATATTCCCATAATCAGTATTTCAGATGACATCTCATTACAACACAAATATATAAAAGTATATATTGCCAAGCTTTAACTGCTACAAACACTTAATACTCTGTCATCTTGTCTTTGGCACATTCACATAAAAACTTGGTTGGCACATTTATGCCAACTTTACCAATATTTCACAGTGTATTTGTGTGGTGTGTGTCTGTTGTACCCTCTCCATGGCATCTTGGTTATAGGCAAGATAGTAGAGGCACAGAGACACTCCAGTGGCAGCCATAGATGGCCTGGGGATTTCCAGCAACTTCTGAACTCCTCCATGAGCCACAAACTCTGCAGCAAACTTCTTGTGCAGCAGCAGAGATGCCAGGTACTGAGATAGGGGAAAATAGGTTGAGACATAAGTCTAAAGAGCTTGACCTTGTGTTTTGGCACCGTGGAGGGTCAACCACATGAGAGAGCGTTTACCTTGAGAGCTTCAAAGGTTAGCTGCACATCATTGGTCTGCTTTAGATCCATATAATGCATGAGTAGCTCACGAGCTCCCATCTGCATGAACACTGCCAGCAGCTACAGGTAGAAGGAGGAGGAATGGGCATCAAGAGAACATATGTCAATTTGCTTTAATATGAAACCACCTAAATAGCTAGTTACCAGAATATATGGTTCAACGAAAAGCCTGCTACTAATATTTCCTGTATAAAAATGAGCATGAGGTTACCCTTAGAACCATACTTTTTATAATGTCTCAACAGAATATTTTCTTTCATGATACTTGAGGAAGACTGACATCTACTGGTAAGTCTGTGACAAGACAAGGGAAACACATACACAGCCTAAAATGATAACATATGCTGCAAAATGCCATTTTACAAGGACTGCAGCGAAAGATTATTTTCATTATTAATCAATCTGCTAATTATCTTCTTGATTCATCATGTTTTTATATGAAATATAAAAAAATAGTGGTATACTTTTAGCTTAAAATGTAGCTTGAAAAAATTTACAAAATTGATTAATTGCTTATCAAAATAGTCGCAGATCAATGTTAATTAATTGATAAATTGACTAATTATTGCAGCTCTACATTCTACTATACACTGCAGAGGCTGATGGTAATGGACCAACCTCCTGATACTCCCCCAGAGGAGTGAGATACTGCAGGATGAGCCTCTGCTCGATCTCTGGGGTTAGAGGGTACAGATGATAGTTGTTGCCAATCACCCAGGGGCTCATCTCAGACCAGCTGCTGTTGGAAAGCTCGTTGAAGTTCCTCTCTGGCTCTGGCAAAGAGAAATTTAGCTTCTGTTTTGAGGTCCTGCCACTCTCTCTCTCTAGCTTCCTTTTTAGGTAACTGCTGCCATCAGACATGCCTTGGTGTATCAGTGAACTCGGGGCAGACATGGGCTTCATCATGGTTTTAACAGCAGAGTTGGCACGGCTGCTGGTCTTATGAGGAGAGTTGAGACGGAACGAAACCTCGTTTTCGGGCTCAATGGTTGAAAAGGGAATTTCGCCATCCCCCTCTGGCCCCGTCCCCTCCCTTTCAGCTCCATTTCTGCCCGGTGTGAAGGACTTCTCTTCAAAGCCTCCATCAACAGTCTCCTCATCCAAAGGTAACAAGGGCTCACTCAAAGTCTTCCTGGGGCTGGGTCGTTTGATTTCCCTTTTGTTCTCAGCATCCTTATCCTGAAGCTCACGTAACCGATGCAGCATCAAAGGCACCTGTCAAAGTAAAGCAAGAAAAAAAAGGTTAATGGACAGTTGCTACTTTATACCAGCTAGTGATGATGAGCAGATTGTCCTGATGCTTGGCAGGATAACACAGCTTTATCAGCTGTTGTAACACCTTGTCCATTTCTATGTACACATTATTCATTAAGATAAAACTGACATTTGATACAGCAACATCCCATACTGACCAAAACAGAGTTCTCCTCTCTGTAGTTGGCTGCAATGTCCTGGTTCTCCATGGCACCAGCCAACAAGCCTGTAGCATAGATTCTGAGGGGCTGCTCGGCCTCCTGAGCCCACTTAAACAGCCTTTCAACTATACCCTCCTGAGAAACACAAACACAGAAGCAAGGTGAAATACATATAAAACAAGAATGTGAACGGAATGTGAACAGATTCCTACTAAGATAAAACACAGAAATTTTTTGAGTACTGTATTTTCCCCAGTATGATGGCTTTTATTACAATTTCACAAGCATGGTTCAAAATAAAAGGATCCACTGACAGAACAAGGGTTTGCAGGCTGGACTGTGACCATCTGTCCCTGTCTCTGGTTATCTAAACTAAATTTGATGGGTTTGCTGGTCAGTTCCAATGACTCTGTTCAGATGTTTACTTCGTCTCACGACTGTTTTTCAGTAATAACTACCTGAGCATCTCTGCCTTTACCATCTCCCCCTACGCTATGTTAAACTGCTTTAATATCTAGGACAGCAGAAATCAAAATGAGACCACTTCTCTTTTTCGCAGCTTCCTCTTTGTTGTTGTGGTGATATTTGATGTTATCATTTATATCAGCTTGCTAAACATGAATGTCTAATGTCTTCAGTAGAGGGCATGTAATTACATGTATTACTTACTATACCCTTAAACACTGAACATGGCAATTTGGATATGAATCTGCAAAACTACAAGAATATTACAGGCTACTATAACAGCTGAAATTAAGAAAACACAATGTTTGGGAAAAAAATAAATGCTCTTCTCGCATAATCAAGTCAGGATTAAGGTACCTTTTCTTGAAAGACCACCGCTGTCTCCAATCCAGGCATGATGTTCTGAAGCAGCCGACAAGCTGCTGCATTGAGGGAAAATTCTCTGCTGGTCATCACATAGCTATTCACCAGCTACAAAGGGATGAAATCAAAACCACTTAAAAGTTACCTTCTGACTCAGATGCTTAAAATGGCCCTTTATTTTGTACAACAAGTCTCATTATATTCTTACTGCGTTCATGAAGTCATCATTCTTGAACAGGATCTTGAGCAGGTGCCCTAACACGCATTCTGGATCAGCTCTCCCTAGTGGCCAAGAGGGAAATGTTAAAAACATGCACAACTTAAATCTCCAGTAATCTTGCTATTATGTGTTTCGTTTTCTTTTTCATACCAGGATGTCGATCATCAAAAGGGTCTGGATCTGCTTTGTGATACTCCTCTGTCTCCTTCTCAACAAGCTCAGAGATTCTGAAAGTTACGGCACATCAATATATTTAACTCTCTTCAAGTCACCCTCAACTCATCCTAATGACACCACATTAACAAGAAGCAGAACTACTTACTTTGTGAGGATGTTAACCAGCTCCTGCGTGCTGCCTTGTTGATCTCTCTCCCACTGTTCCAGTAGAGCAGTCAGCTCTGCCTTGGAGTCCACACTGGCAGACGCCGACGCCATAGCGTTGCCTGTCAGGATAGAATCCACTTAATATATGATTGATTGTTCAATGTATTCTTTGTTTGTAATACATGGACAAAGTGATAACTTTACAATGTTCATTTTGTCCAACTAACAGTTCAAACATCACACTTATTAAAAACAAATCAAAATTATACAAATGATTAAAAGGAAAAGAAGCACATCATCACATCGGAGAAGCAGGAACCATGACATGTGTGGCATTTTTAAATGACCATTACCATTTAATTTTCAGCTAATCGATTAATTCACTCATCATCATTCAGCTGTACTTGTATGTACTGTTGAGTAGTATAAGTTATAAAAAATCATCATCTTTTAAAAGCTCTTCATATGTTTTGTATGTTAAAATCTTAATTTGTAAAGTAACTAGCAACTTAACTGTTAATAATTTATAGTGGGGTAAAATGTGCAATATTTAACTCAATGCATATCAGTATAGTATTTTATTCTACTTGCATATCTGTAGCGTATTGTGGTTTTATGATAATGAAACTATTTTAATTACACTGTACATGTACACGTGACTCATAGTCGTAAACAAGTCAACACAAACACAACCTAGACATCAAACACAGGGAAGTACGACTGAATTTCAGCCGGATGACACAGTCAGAGGATATATTTCACTGAGATCCAGAGAACAAAGAGCGAAGAGGCGGATTTGCTCCATTGCTTCACAAACATCACAGTGTGCAGGTGCAGCAGCCCTCCAGGGACTGCAACTGTCAAACCAACACTGTCACTCTACAAATCAGCACGTTGATTAAAATTCTTTGTCGCCTTTTGTAATATGTCTGGAACTACAATCTCAGCTCCAACACTTGGCATGTTTCTCTACATTCACTTACAGCCGATACTTACTGCCCCAGGCAGCAGACAACTCACACACTGCCTGTTGCGATGTTTGGCTAGCCAGACTGTAGCTAAATAAGGAAGCTAATATACTTAGCTCGCCAGCGACACTCTCAAAGTACCCGATTTTGGATTTCACTGCTATAGTTTACACTAAGCCTAAACTGCCCGGACATGCACAGTTTATTGTGTGAGATTCAAAACATAGTTGAACCAAATGAAACCTCCCTGTACATGGTACCTGGCACTAAAGTGTTAGCTAGCAGCATTACAAGTAAACCTGGCTACATTTAGCTAGCATGCTAACTTCACCTCTTTGCTCCGCTCAGCTCTTCTTCGGTTTCACCAAATTTGCCGAGGCTTGCGTCCACAGATATTAGTCCAAGCTCCTGGGTGCCTACGTATCTATCCCCGTTTCACAGCCAAAGATTAATTTGCTTTATTGTAGCTTTGTATTCACGGTTTATTATCATTATGGCGAACACGTTCTCCACGTCATTTCAGGAGCGACAGTCGACTTTTAATGACGAAATGATTCAAGAGCAAAACATTGCGAGATGACATTTATTCAAATGGCAGAATTATTGCAGAGCAAGTATTACAGATGTTTTGTCTTGCAAAATGATACAAATTCAATAAAAGATAAACATTCATATAAAACAACAGAGATTGTTACCATGACAGCAAACAAATGACATGCATTTTAGTAACATAAAAAAATTGTACTGCTATTAAAAAATAATATTGTGTACGAAACAGCTGCTTTACTGGTTATGAAAATAACTGCTGACAGATTAAAGCAATAGTGTTCATAATTCAGAGAATCTAGTATGATTATGGCTTATATTGTGTCATTAACCATTTTTTTTTCTGTGGTGCAAGCATACAAATAGCACTTTCTTTACATTAATTATGTTGTAGAAAATATTTAGTCAAAGATAAATTAACTTTTTGTGTAGCCTTGAAGACTGCGTATTCAAGAGACTAGATGAGTTGTGGGAGCTCAGAAGTTAAATGTCTCTGTTTAAACTCTGTTGAATGGCAACCTTTAACAAGTCATAACTGCCCACATGTCAGGGAATGCTCCGTTAATCAGTAGAAGTGACTCGTAAGTAAAACTGACATAATTAGATATCCACTGGTTTGTAAAGTAAACACCTTCATACAGAATCACTGCAATCACATTACAGTACAGCAACAACAGGTAGCAGGATAGTTATCTGCATTAACCTTGAACTCATTCCCGTAAACAAAGTAAATGTGTGATTTGGTTTTCCACAAGTAGGTCACCTTTGTGACAGGGATCAGCTCAATGGTTTGACGCTGCAGACAGAGAAAGCAAATATCAGCATGTTACACAAACACAAGATCCAGTCCAAATAAAATATTTTTATTATATTAGAATATTATAAATACCTGCTGTAGAATACGTGACGTCTGGGAGAATTTGCCCTGGTGTTCATTAACAAAGCGCTGTGCAGCACTCACCACTGCAGGGTCTGGGAAGCCCATCACTGGGTATACCTGTACAGGGTAATCAGAAAAATATGGACATGTGCTGAATCACCATCACTGTTAAAATTACATTCATTCATTGGCTGATGGATCAAGCCTGGTAACAAATGTTTTAGTGTTTAATTTACTGTGAGGAGTGCCATGACATACAGATATGACCCTTTGAATAAAGGATCAGTAATAAGCCTAACACCAGTAGAGTACACAGGCTGCATAGGGAATGAAGCATGTAAGAAGCAGCAGCTTCAGTCCTCATCAGTGTCACACAGGATGTGTTCAGCCACGGTACTTTTTTGTGGTCCTGTGTAGGTAAATGGGTGACCACCGTTCCACTAATAAGCATGCATGGTTATCCCAGAGTTCAGTAAGTCAGGGTTTGTTCTTTGTGCATGTGGTCTCCCACTTATATTTTGTACCTCCTGAGAAAGTATGAAGCAATCTTTTACCATGTACTGAGAATCTCTGAAAAGCTCCTTGCCAGACACTTTGCTAAGGTTGTCCACCTGCAGTCCACTCAACTGTTCTACCACATAGCTGTCAGAGTTGTTGGTCCTGAAAGCGTAAACATAAAAAAAAGATATCCAGTTTAATTTTAGAAATATTAAACAGTATAAAGTAACCATAAATGTGGATGACCTAGTTAAGTATGGCCTTCTTGGCAGATAAACCGCAATAAGTAGACAGCACCATTTCACAGTGAGGTTGATGTAGACCAGAAGCTGTTGTTTGCCATGACATGTGTCACATTGCCTTGATCCTTGCCCATGACAGTGGCTGCAGCTGTAACAGAATAATGCGTAATAACAGTATGTTTTAGAAGAAAAATACAAACTGTACTGTTTGTAACTGCACTTACTGAGGCTGTCACTTAATTAGAAATCTATAGGTAGCACTTACTTGTCCCTTCCTCTTCCATTGCAGTGGTGGCATCGATCATTTCCATGGCGGTAACCAGATCCATTGCACACCCAACAAACTTTCTGACAGGAGCAAGAAAGGAAATCAGATGATCATTTTATCTCACTAAATGTCTTCAAGTAATATTTTCAGTGAGGTCTGTGGAAGTGACTTACATTACCAGCACCGGCACAGTCTTTGCAAGGTTTTCGTCCCATTCCCAAACAAACGTGGCAGCTCTGCAGATGAAATGTTTCTCATCAGGAAAAATCTCGAAAGGCAATAACGGGATCTTTTTCAACATTCTTAAAATTTACCTTCACAGATGACGTGTAAGGAACCTTGATAGTCTGTTTGGAATCCAGAAAAAAACTGGGGGTTTTAGCCGGAATATCCCAAGGCCCTGGAGGTGGTTGGGAAAAGGCATCCACTGGCTGGCCTGATCCAAATAAAACAACATATTAGACTGTCACTGAGGGGTCACACTGAATAGCTGACTGACAGCTGAAGTAGTACTGAAACATTTCATTGATAATTCGATCAACAGAAAATTAATCACCAACAATTTTGATTATGTATTGTTTTTATTTTTTTACAATATTCTGTGGTTCCAGCTTCTCAAATGTGAGGATTTGGACACTTTTCTCTATTTTGTATAATTGCAAATTGATTATCTTTGTGTTTTCAACTGTTGGTCTGGCCAAAAATGCAATTTGAATATGTCACCGTGGGCTCAGGGAAACTCAGATGAGCATTTTTCAATTTTTTGAGACATTTCATCATCTCAGCAAGTAATCAAAAAGAAAATTGGCAGGTTACTCTAAAATAAAAAATGATCCTTTGGGGACAGATCCTGGGCAAAAGATGCACAAAGTAAAAGCACTGTACCATTATATGGCTCATGACTCCACTCTGTAGATCTTGTTTCAGTAAAGGTTTCCAGGCGGTACTAAAACAAAGCAGGGGTGGAGAAAACAATCATTAAACTTGATTAAACTGTCTACTGGTATTTCTTTGCTTAGTCATGCATTGAACAGCCAAAACAACCATATGAACTATCACTTATTGATTATCATTCTATTGGGTTTTTCCAAACACGCGTGCACACGCACACACACACACACACACACACACACACACACACGAACAGACCTCCTCTTACCCTATATGTATTGAATGCCTCCATGTTGGTGATCACACCATCCTTTGCTGGCGCTGAACTGTAGCAGCACTTGCTGGAGGCAAACAGGACCAACGCCTCCCGAGCAGTGTCTTCAGTTATAGATGGGATACTGCCAGCAGTGAAAGAATGACATACAGTATGTCATGAAGTATAATATTTTAAGAGGAAGTGAGACTTCCCTCCTTTAATTCTTAAACCACATAATAATGCCATAATGTTTTCAAATCCCCTTAGCTGTCATGTTGAAAGAAAGGGAATAGTTTGAGCCTTACTTCCAATGTGGTTGTTCAGGTCCAGGCTCAGGCTGAGGAACTGGGTAAGCAGGCATAGGAGGGGGCAGATATCCACCTACAGCAGATATTGAAAAAAAATTTTGTGTTGTTTCATTGCTTTAAACTAGCAGCAATAATTCAAAGTGCTTTTGTATATACAGTATACACTTACTGACTACTTTACAAGGGATACCTGTAAAATCAAACGCAACAGCCCACCGTATTCATTTAACTTCATGTTTATTACTTAAGTTGCAGTTTGCAGTGGTGTTGAACTGGACTGAATTATATTGAGAGGTGTTTCTAATGTTGCGCTTACTTATGTAGCACAAACGAATTCATTCTGCAGCATCAGAGCAATCCCAAACATACAGCAAAAAAAACTGTGGCAATTTCTCCAAGATGCTTAGAACAACCTACCTTGAAAAACTGCATATCCTAACTTTACCTTTAGTACACTTATGCACAATATTGCATGTGTAACTAATAAAGTGGCCGGGGTGTGTCTGACTGTAATGTTTCATCACAGTCAATAGGGAAAAAAGGGGACAACAAAGAAGCACATGCAGCATTCTGTACCTCCTCCGCCTGCCACTGTTCCTTCATAGCCAGGCATGCTGTCAAACATGCTGGCCGGAGGAGCGCTGGGCCCGTCAGCTGCGGGTGGGGCAAACATTGCTGAAACAAACCAGAAGAACCAGTTCAATCATTTCCAATAATGTCGGCTTTCAAATGTTATAAAGTACATTTTTGATTCTAGTAGAGTTATGCATCACATAAACATGTAAATCCTTGTGAGACTTCACTCAAGACTTTTCAGAAATTCCAGCTAAATTCTTTAGCTTCCAAGCTGTAACATGTTTCTGTGTGACAACACCATAAGACAAAGACGTGAGTACGCGACTTACCCGTGGTAGTTTCCATTCTGAGAGGTTATGCAGCTACACTAAACACTCACACACATGGTTTGGCCCCTTCACAAACCCTGTAACTCCTGTTATATGGTCCCTAAAACCTCCCAACCGCAGAACGTGTGAGTCCTTCAGCTACTAGGGTGCTACCAACCTTAAATAAACCTGCAGGTCGAGAATGACGTCATGCCTAGGTGTGCACCGTTCGGCACCACTGAATTGTGTAGCCTAATTATAACACTATTAAATGACTTTATATCCATGTCATAATTAATGGCTTTACATTCAGTACAAAAGCATAATACACGTCCACGGATCTTACCGGGTCCCCCCTGTGCTGCTGGGATATAACCGGGATTGGCTATCCCGTAGTTTCTGCCTTGATTGCTGAAAGTAACGGGAAAACGAAAGTTAAGCTAGTGAGGTGGAAAATACTGCGAGCTACGTTTAGTTTGCAATAAAACACTGAACAATAGGTCAGACTCACTTCATAATAGGCTGATGTTCCATCCCAACGCGACGGAAAAAAACTAAACGACAAAATAAAACAGAACTAAATCTTCATACATGCACTAATCACACACATGCAGTGTATCACTAAGTATCATGTGACAAAAAAAAAAACTGATCATTTACCTTTTATCACACCCCACCCCCGTTTCCTCCAACTGTCAGTCAGCTGACTCTTCCTCTATTCTGAAAGTTAATGAGGAACAAAACTTCACTTTTTGTGGTCTTGATTTCAGCATGTGCTTAACCAGTCTTTCGTATCATCATCCGTTCTCTAAGTTTATACAAGTCCACTCTGCTGCCCCCACAAAAAAGCCTCATCTGTTCAGGAAGTGCGCACCAGTCGTTTCATGAGCAAATATGAAGTAAACAAATATGAAAGGTGGGCGTAGAGACATGTGTTCCGGACATTATAATATAACATTTGGTTAATACCAATAAGTACAACGAGATTCATATTGTTTCATTTAATACGTTTTGAGGAGAACAGTGTAAATTGCAGTAGAGCGCAAGCGCCGTAAGACGCATGTAGGTCTGATAAACTACACTACCCATAAGCCCTTGCAATACTCACGGAAGTCCTTTTTCTTTCCTTCCGCCGTCGTAGAAGTCCCTTTTGGATTTACATCGGCGGGTGAGTCAATGCAATCTATGATAATCCACGCGATTTAGGGCACTATTTGACCATCAATGTGTGGGTTGTCAATCTTAAACATTAAATCTACATATGTTGGATAATATTGACCATTTTATCGTTTTATATAATCTTAAGCTCGTCCTGGTCCACCGAGCCGAAGAGGCTCCTGCTGCTCTCGGGTTCTCGTATTCAGTAAACGCTGCCAGACAAGCACTGTGAAATAACAGCTAGCAGTTAACAACATTGGCACATGATATTTTTAATTTTTGTTTAGGCCAAACTGTTGTACCGTTGATTAACTATAGCGTTGAAGCGTTTGCTTCTTGAAGTAGCATGGCTAGTTAGCAAGCTAGCTAAACACTGAGTGCACGGAGGTCGATAGCTAGTCAACACGTTTATCTTGAGGCTTACTACAGAAAAGTGGACGGACTCTTGGTTTATTGCTGTTACTCGCACACACCGAGATCTGAAGTTTATGAATGTGGCAATGAGTTATCGGCAACATTCTCCACACCTTGTTTAAACGTTTGTAGCTGCCAATAATTCCTGCGTTTGCTCATTTAGAAAACTACCAATTTAGTCATTGCTGTAAGGAGCACGTTGTGGTGTAAATGCTGCAACGCTGAAGCTGAATAATGCACTACATTGGTTGTAATCCTAATTTTTCAATGTTTTCTGTCCTCAGTCACCATGGCAGCCCTCAGGCCCCTCACAAAACCCAAGATTGTCAAAAAGCGCACCAAGAAGTTCATACGCCATCAGTCTGACAGATATGTTAAGATTGCGGTAAGTCCTCACCCATAAACAAGATGCTCATCAGGGTTGGACCACTCCTTTTATTTTCTAGGAAGGACCTGCAAGCAATTAATCCCCCACATCTTTTTTTTCTTTCATCTACAGAAAAACTGGCGTAAGCCCAGAGGTATTGACAACAGGGTCCGCAGGCGGTTCAAGGGTCAGATGTTGATGCCCAACATCGGTTATGGTAGCAACAAGAAGACCAAGTACATGCTGCCAACTGGCTTCAAGAAGTTCCTGGTACATAATGTCAAGGAACTCGAGGTTCTGATGATGAGTAACAAGTAAGTTGTACATGAACATACTTTTAAAAATAATGTAGGTTACACATCAGCCTATCGGTACCAGAGTTGCACATGGTTTCCTCTCCTCCAATATTCTTTCCAAAACTGATTTTGCAGTCTTGTATCAACCAAGATTTGACAACATTCAGCGAACAGACTCACTGTTTTGTTTATACAAGAATGTCTTGGACATATTCAACCTTTGTCTAATTGGGACATTTTTAATATTGTTGCTTGATATTGAGTTTTCAGTCTCTTGAGCATTATGAAAAAAATCCTTTTACCCCAGTGTTTCTGTTGGGGTGGCAGCAGAAGTCTGTGTGACAAATCTTTAAAACCAAAGCAAATAAGACAACATGTTTAGACACCCCAAGGGCAAAGTGTGCGAGCTGACCACTGAATGACAGCAAGGTTTGAACTGGTACATTCTTTGATATAACTATGTGACAAAGTCAACTTAGATTTTAGAGACTGAGTCACATAATTAATACTGCAGGCTGTGAGCAGTAAGCACACAGAAACATCCACAACAACAACAAGCCATATGGCTTGACTGTTACTGTTCAGAATTTGGCATCTGCTGAAATAATCACAACTGGAATGCGTACTGTGCTTCATTTGACAAATATTTGGACTTCTTAAAAAGGAATTAAAAGAGGAAGGTCAACCTAATTTTGTGAAACAGAGTTCCCATGTCCAGGTCAAAGCATTAAAGAGGGAGTTTTGTAATAGCCAAGCACTTGGATCAAAATGACTGACTGTCCCATAAACACATGGGATATATATATATATTTTTTAAACTTATGCAGCATTACATTGGAGCTGTTGTCAAACTCTGCCTCATTTTACTAAGGGCTTCAGTGACAGACACACAATCTGGTGCACAAATGTATTGGATTAATCTTCTGCTCTGGAAGAAATAGAATAGCCTGTCTTGCTGTCTTTTGTGCACTGTACACTACAGAAAACCATAAATGTAGTGTTACCCACACCACTTCGGTACTTGAAGGGTTGAAAGCTTAGAGTCTGGATTTGTTTTTTAAAACCAATTAAAACATAAATAGCAATGGAGCTGATGTTGGGCGAGCAGGTAGTAGCTACCTTGACCACAGTTCAAAGCATAGCTCTGTGTAATGCCACTGTCACATCATGGTAAATTCAGCAAAGAAGGTACAAAATTGTGATCGTATATTGATCATTGATCCCACTTTAATAATCTTGGAAATAGTCCAGTTTGACTGACTAGCAAAATGCTGACACTGTCTTCTATATCGCAAACAATTTGTGAAATCACAAAGACAAACTTTCAAAGTGAAATGAACTGTTGCTCTGTAGTCTCCTGAGACAAATTTGCTCGTCTGTTTCACAATTTGACAAAATGGAAATGCTGGTTTTGTCAATGAGGATATGTTTCATAACAAGTACAATCTATTCAGCCCCAGTTAAAGAAAAGCCACGGCTAAGCTGAAATTTAGCTCACTAAGCTGTTTTATGAACATGATCTATGAATCCAGATTTGGTGACATTGATTTTTCTTGAGACAAGTACATCTTATTTTCAAAAATGATAACTGTTGAATCAATAGTTCAGAGAGCATGTTAAGCGTTGGTGGTTGTCTGTTTTTCTCCCTTTATTGGGAGATATTGATCCTTTAGGAAAGTTCAACAGATTGTTAGTGGTAAAAACAGCATTATTTCAATTGTGACATTAGTTACCCTAAAAGCATAAAGCCAAAAACACATGGATCAGCTCTGGAACATTTCCCATCTTTCTGTAGTTTCAGTTGCATTTAGTGGCCACTGTAATTCATCATTATCATTATTTACCAATGCTTTCATTACTTGGGTTAGCTTTAGTGACAGTCATGTCAGTCTTGACTTTAGTGATGCTGTCATGACCTTTGGCTAAACATGTTTTAGAAACACTGAACATTTAAGTGGCTGTGTTTATCCTTTAGAGGAAAACTGCAATTATGGCATTTTTTTCATTTATCTTAATATGTAAATGTAGCACAAAAACATTCCTGAATTTTTTCTGCAACACGGGAGTGATTTGTCTTAGAATAAAACATGGCCCCCCACTGCTGCAAGAAATGATCAAATATTGGGCAACTTAAGACCAAACCTGTTTTTTCAAGGTGACTTTTTGTTAAATCATTCAAAGCCACACAGTCATTTAATTTAGCTTTATTGTATTAGAAGTGATTTTATTTTTGGTTCTGGTATTCTTGTCCTGTATTTTTAATTGACATAAGATTGTTTTAACAATGTGGACCTGACCCCCTCAGCACAATCACAGCCTAAACTGTCACTTTGACAGTGTTACTTTTAATGTCTTGTCAGGACCTAATAGCCCCTTGTCTTCACCTCCTGTAGGACTCACTGTGCTGAGATCGCCCACAACGTCTCCTCCAAGAACAGGAAGCTGATCGTGGAGAGGGCAGCTCAGCTGGCCATCAAGATCACCAACCCCAACGCCAGGCTCAGGAGCGAGGAGAACGAATAAACTGGTTAATAACAATAAACGCTTAAAAATTGAAACTGGCCTGTTGATTGTTTTTGATGGCAGGGTTGTTGCACAGGTCTGGAAAATGTATGAAACTCGACTAAATTCCCAAGTATGAAAATTACATTTCATAATTGATAATTTAATGGATGAGGTTTATCTCCACATTAAAGCAATGTTCTATTGCCCCAAGTTACTGTTAAGTAATAGTGGTGTTCCAGTTCAGTTTTTTACAACATCAAAACAAGTTTCTTCTGATATAAACTGGTGTCATTGGTGGGCTGAAAACAAATTTCAAAAAGCAAAATGTCTTATCAACAGGTGTTGGAGTCACCAGGGAGTTATAAAAAGGTAGTTCATTTGTGGTATGATACTTAACAGATGAGCTATTTTCGTACGTTACACAGGCGTCAAAATGGTAAGGAAATGTTCACACGAGTTGGCTGGCTACAGAGCTGGTTGTTTTCCCCCTGGGGTAGACGGGGTTATTCCTCACCTCCTTCCAGATGACTGGATGCTGGAACAGAACAAAAGGGGTAAGATGCCCGAAGAACAGTGTTGACCCATATTATAAATGGAAGAGCCTTCATAACTTTGTGTAAACAGTTTTGCCTCCAAGATGTGATCCAGGGTAGCTTATGAAAGAGTACATGCTTTTACAGTTTGTAAAGCTTTTTGCTGTCAAAGAACGTTCTGGACTCAATTCAGTTTTATTTTTTTATTTAACTTAAACTGAATTTACTCCAAGTCTCTCAGAAAAATAAAAAGGATTGAAAAACAAGTTAAAAATTGAAATATCTTGATACAGTATAAATATTCAAATGTGATTCATTTAAAGAACAAATAGTATTATAGTGTAATGGAAAGTTTAGCCAGGAGCATATCCTGCAAGTGAAGCAGTTTTAAAGGGACACTCTGGAGATTTGGTATTTCTCCTCCATTATGTTGCAACAAACAGAAAGTGAATGGTCAAAACTAATGAAGTTGAAGTGGATATATACAGTATGCTGACCTCTAGCCCATAGTATGAATCAAGCACCAAAAACTCTGGATCCTACATTCCCCACAATGCAGCTTCATGACATCCCTGACTAGTAGATGTCAGTGTTCTTCAAACTCAAGGGGCCAGTTTCAACATGCAAACTGTGAATTACTACATTATATAATTTCTTCTGGCTTTAATTTCGTCACATTTAATTAATCCAAAAAAAAAAAAAACACTAGCCTAAGTAGGTCCACACAGCCCAGGCAGCCATAGGTGTGTGTGTCCTCCAGGAACAGCTCCAGGCTTACAAGTCACTAACGATACCAGCATTTCATGACATACCTCAACGGAAAACACTTTCAGCCCTGTGATTCTCAGATCGTCTGTTCAGTTTAGGCAATTTAATTTATTCTGGTTATTAAGGTTATTTTTCTCAGCTTCTCCTAAAATACCCACAGTTAAGAAAACACTGAAACGCGCCAAATAACATTTTAAGAGATTGACATGAGACTTTACAAAACTACTACAAATTTATTAGACACTGAAACATTGAAGAAATGGGTGTTGAACCAAATTTCCCTGCGTCTCCATGAGACTATACCTCACCTGGGTTCCACTACTAACCCACTGGATCTCCTGGATCGTAAGAGTCTACATACACTACATGTATAAGGTTAAAATGGAGTAAGCCAAGAATGGATTCGTACTGGGAGTCCTTGGCAACTGTGAAGACGCCAGCTCACAGTCTCCTAAGGTTTTAGACTCATGGCAAGGAGTCAGTTTGGCACCTTGTATGAGCATGCTCCAACAAATCCATGTCTATTTGCTTAATCAATTGCTTAATCTAATTGCTTAATCAATAAATTAAATAGAATATTATCAAAAGTGATTGCTTTGAAATGGCCTGCCCTGAATATACATTGTGTTGTGATGTTCAGAGCCGGATCCCTGCAGAGAAAGTTTCCATTGCATTCTGGCAGGCACGCTGTGCCCCACAGCCCTGAGCCCTCCGCCATCTGTTCCTGTAAAACTGACATTGCCAGAGATGCTAAAACATAACATTTATTTAGCCAGTCAGCTTGTGGGCTGTATGGATGTGGAAGTTACCAATGGTGGTTGGAAAAAAAAGAGGCACAGTGTTGGACCTGAGTCTTTCCTCTTTTTTAAAACCTGCACCTGTTTCTGGAGAGGGCTCGGAAGACTCACCTGAGAGGACTGGACGTTCTCCAGAGAGGGAGGAGAACATGAGAACAGCAGGACAGGCAGAGACTGCAATGTCTGAGCGACGGTGAGAGTGTCAGGGAGAGGACAGAATCCATTTTTACCTTGTCACTGGTCAGAAAATGAACATGTCGGCGAGGGTAGTGTTTGGAAAGGGGCGCCTCACTCCCCAGCAGCTCTCCTTCGCCTTCCCTCAGACAGATTCTCTGAGGAAAGGTGGCCGGTCATCAGGGGGAAAGAGGAGGATGTTCTCTTTTTCGCTCCGATGTCGCCTGGGCATCATCAGAGGGAGAACCAAAGGTAAAACCCACTGGAAATCTCATGTTTTGGTAAATGGAAATACATTCATGCCTTTAATATTGTAAAGCCAGATATGTAAAATGTGAAATATTTTGTTATCATGTGATGTAATTTATGTAAATTTAGAAAACAAGAGGGCAACACTTTACTTTACTCCCCTTATTAAACATTCATAAGCAGTATATAAACATGTTTAAAATGTTTATAACACACTTCAATGTAGTTACAAGCAAATATAAGTGTTTATTAATGCATTTGTCAACAGCACCTCCTCCTGTGGACCCCCATAAGTGGAGGCTGCTGTATAAACATCTCATGAATGGCAATACAGTAAAAACACAGTTATAATAATATGAAATTTGTCTTCATATGCAAAGTTTGTAATTGTTGACGAATACTGTAAAATGTCTAAACACCTGTGTACAACTGCATTATACTATGTTATGAGCAATTTATTAAATGTTTGTATACAGCTTATAAATGCTAAAAAGGGGGAATATTAAAGTGTTACCAAGGAGAGTTTTGTTGCCCATACAAAATTACATGACTCTAACAAGTTTGTCTGTAAATGAATCCCCAAAGAGTCACCAAATGACATTCATCATCTGCAGTCAATTTAAAAAGAGAGTAAAAAAGTGTGCAGTTTGCAGCAGGCCTGTTAAACAGAGCGTTCCCTTGGACTTGTGAACGTGCTTTAAGGTGAATACTAAAACATGAGTATGTCTGACACATTCTTATCCACGGGCTCTTGTTCATGTCGCACACTGATCCGTGCTGGGTGTCAAGTGAATTAGTAATTTTTTCTTTTCAGATTTTCACATGCAACTGGAGCCGATCACCATAAGATGGCAGTGTGGTCAGTTTGATCGATGAGGAGGTCGCGTTTCAGAACACCCACTCTGTCTATGTGGTGAAAAACAGGATGTATTCAAGAAGATTTTTTTAAATGATGTAGATGAATAATTTACAAAAGCACCACCAAATACTGAAAAAAGCCACACACCTATCTTTTCTTGAGTCCTACACCTTTATAACCTTTTCAAATTCTGCTACTCTTTGTTTCCTTCTTCTTCCCTAATCTAATCATTACATTATCCCTCCTTCTGCATCAATAATGTTGATTTCTAGTCTAGAGGAAGTGCAGGAGAGTCAATTTTTATTATAACCCAACGTTTGCCACCCTGTTCCCAGAGGTTTTTATCAGTCCAGCACACTGCTCCGTCTCCTGATTCTCTTTATTCTGCTGGAAATTAATTAGTCTCGCTCTGAAAGACTACGCTTGCTCACATTGTAAATGGGGTATTAAGGACAAAATTCTCAGAGGAAATTATCTACACTGAAGAGTATTGTGTCCACTGGTACAGCTGACTAATTAGGCTTCATGCAACAGCGGGCTGAAAAATGGAAATGTTTGTTTGTAATCACTTTACACACCTGTAAAATTGGCTGTTGTAGAATAGAGAGCGGTTTCACATTGAGAATTTTGTGGTATTTTAGTGTGCCGTGTGCTTTTGCCCTTGTTTTGTTTTTGTTTTTTTTTTGTTTGTTTTGTAAGTTTTTTTTTTTTTTGTTTTTTTTTTTTTGTTTGTTTTGTAAGTTGTTTTTTTTTAATCTACTGCTTCCAAAGTCTCAGTGATGACAACTAGGATTCGCAGTGACCAATACAAACAATGCAGACAGGGATCAGACGGGTTGCCAGTGAGGTAGGAGGAAGGCATTTTGATGTTGGTGGTATTGGTTGCAGTGGGGGTCAGGAAGTGGCAGGCGCCGAGGCTTGTGTGCTTGACAAATGGTCGGACAGGTGTGGCGACAGGTCAGCCAGCAGACACGTTAGTCCCTCTGTGCATGCATGTCATTTTCACACAAGTGCCCAGATTTTAAGTGTCCCTTTTTTTTTCTTCTAGTTGCAGATCATTCATTTATTTTCACATGTTCACAATCTGAACTTGTCCTATGCTCAACAACTGCACAATATTTTGAATGAACTTCAGCTGTTAGACATGTTCTCATATAGGCAGCTGCACAGGAATTTTCTTTTGCTGTGTGTGTGTGTGTGTGTGTGTGTGTGTGTGTGTGTGTGTGTGTGTGTGTGTGTGTGTGTGTGTGTGTGTGCCCATGTGCGTGTGTGTGAAAGAGAGGAAAACGTGACACTGTGCAAGGCTCAGTCTGACAATGAATGTGCAGGTGGTGTTAATTGTGCCTAGAGTTGAATGTGTGGGGAGTGTGCAGTTTTGTCATGTCTAATCTCACTGTGTGTGTGTGCGTGTGTGGGTGGGTTTGAGGATGTGTTTGACTAGGTGGGAAATGGATAAAGTGTGTGTGTGTGTGTGTGTGAGTGTGTGAGTGTGTGTGTGTGTGTGTGTGTGTGTGTGTGTGTGTGTGTGTGTGTGTGTGTGAGAGAGAGAGCTGGGGGAGGGAGTGACTATCGTGTGTGCCTGCCTCACTGAACCCCTCTGGTGGAGGGAGAGAGAGAGAGAGAGAGCGAGCAAACACACTCACTCTAGCTCTGTATGAGAGAGAGAAATGTTATGTGTGAGCTCATGTGAGTGTATGAACAAGGGATGATAAATCCTCTGGAAAAAGGACGAACGATTAGTAAGAGTAGCTGAAAAGCAGAACCACAGCAAGATGACAAGGAAAGGACGTGGACCATTTCTCTCCCTGCTTTGGATTTTATAGAAAGACAGAGTTTAGCAGATGCATATTTTTGAGGATTAAGGAGAATAATTTAACGCTGACATCTTTTTGTCACCAAGTTTAAATAGAGGAGGAAACTAGAGATCATCTGAGGATCAGAATTTGCCCTCTGGAGCTCCAGACTTCACTGGGTTTTAAAAACAGGGACACGGGTTAAGCAAATGTTTGACTGGAGAGAAAAGGAATGACGAAACGAAGATGGTGTTTCTGTTTTATCTGAGCGGCTGAGACTCTGTCTCTCGGGTCGCCTGCTCTTACCCTCAGGGGGAACCTCAGTTCTCTGCCCGCAACTAAAGATCAGCAGGGTGACTTCCTGAGGGTGGCTGCGCTGACTAAACTACAGCCATGCTGTGTGGTCTGAGGAGAGACGCCAAGAACAGCGTTGGTAAGAGCACCACACTGATATTGTGTGTGTTTGTGTGTGTGTGTGTGTGGGGGGGGTCTGCTTGTGTGTTGTAGTAGAGGATTTTAGGGCAGGAGGGGGGTGAGTGAGCCCTTGGATTATTTACTAACATGTAAAGAGCTGCTTATGTCTTAAATGTATTCATCTGAGGGGCAGCTTCAACAAGTTTATAACCCATTTAATCTAAATGCAAATATGTTGATTCATTCTTATTCAGTATATTTTGAAGTAGAGCATTTTTGCGTGCAGTGCATTACACTGTGGAGTTATTACAGTGCATGCATTATGGCAGTGATAGACTGCAAGAGATTTAAATGTCATTGGACTCGACCACCAGCTCTTCATACCATCCTGCCATGTGTATTTGGGGCAGATATAGCAACGTAAACTGGGTCTGGCAGGGCCCAGTGTATAAATAAAGTTTTACTTCTTAAAATAGCATTATGATTTCATTGTCATTGTCAGTGCTGCCCCCATATTTAACCTACATCCTGATTGGATATGGGAAGGATGGCGTACAGTGCCCTGAATTACATCAGGAGTTAATTAACTCAACACATATTTATATGCAGAATTTTATTTTAGTCAGTGCAATGCTCCAAGCTCCTTTAGATTCAGTGTCTATGGTAAATCATATCCTTGAGACAGTAACTAACTTCTTACTCTACAAAGACATCAGAGATGAGATAACCCTTTTTTTTTAATCAGTAGTTGGTTCATTGTTGGGGCTGTTTAATTAATCAGCTCCGTCCTGATCCTAATTCTGGCCGTTAGGGTGAGTGATGGTTATTGTAAGCTTGTGGAGGATGACTGGGGGATGGTTTGACGGTACAGTAGCGTTCAGTCACGTGCAGTGCAGTTGGGTCTGTGTAACCCAGAGCTAATGTTGCCTTTTGACTGCAATGACAGCTGCTGGACTGTCAGGGGCCCTCAGGAGCCGGCGTGGTTACGAGGCTTTTGCCAAGCCTAATGTGTTTGTGATGTGTCACTCACTTTGTGTATGTGTGTTTGTGCCTCACAGCAACTGGACAGGATGTTTGTGCAGGGATGTGTGTAAATTAGTGTGAAATACCATATTATACGTATGCACTGTATGTTCTATACATCACAAAGTCCATGAGAGATATTTCTGTAGCTCAGGTCTGACTCATGCAGCCGTGCATGCTCAAGAAGGATGAATCTTCTTCTTGGACTCCTCGTATCCTGGGCTTGCCCAAAGGTTTCAGGTCAGAGACGTTTTGACAAAGGATCCATGCCTCTCAGCTGTTTGAAGGCTTCAGCTTCAGTTTGGCACATGTGGAGACTTGATGTGGCCAGAGAGAAGGCAGTAGGTTGGATGCCCTCCCAGCACTTGCCTCCCCCAGTTACGTCTCTACAAATCAGCACAGCTAAAACAGAAAGACATGTCAGAGTAACTGAAATGTCACCTTTCATGTCAAGATGTTACCTTTTAAATGACAGACCTCCCATAGGTCTATAGGTATAGAGCAATACGATTACTATCACTATTAGCAATTCATGTTCGCAATGTTTCCATGGATGTACAAACAACTGTTGTATTGGATTACTTTGACATGGAAGAAACGTAAAAATGCAATGATTCTCTGGGAGGAGCAGGAGTTAATGATATCCTTGGAAAGAGTAAGTAACACTGAGTCTAATAATATGTGTATCATCTCTGTGTGTTCAAATTTGACAGAGTTATGACTCTTAGAAGGAGTAGGATATTTGATGCAAACTGCAGTAATTGGGCGCTAAGGGTTTTGAAGTACCTCAGTTGCCTCTAGGAGTTGTGTGTCACAGCCACTGCTGCTGCCTGTAAGCACTGCCTGTGTTGAACAGACCAAATCAATTGGCCAACTACAAGTTTCAAAACCTCTGGTTTATAAGTTATACAGTTTTTGACTAACGGGTGTTAGAAAAATAAGATTTTAATCAGTGTCTGTACTGTGCCGTATTAACCTCAGTCATTGGAGATTTTAGTTTGTGATGACTTAAGTTTGATGCCTGTGGTGCTATAGGCACAAACATGCCCCCTCCACTCTGAAAAAGAGGACTTGGCACAGCTCTTCTTTAAGTTTATAATATGATGTTCAATCGCTGTGCTGGACGGCTGAAAAGGTAATCCACAGTGGACAGGATTAGAGAAGTGCCAAGTCAGTTTCCTCATCGCCGTGACTGCTGACATGCTTGTATGGCTGCATTCAGGTTCAGATGGCCGGGCAGTGGCTCTGCTAATCTGAGGCCAGCCCAGTGCTGTGTCAGAAATGGGTCCCAGAGTGGGTAAAAAAAAAAAAAAATTTAAAAACACATTTGCCCTGCAGTGCAGATTGAACATTTCCCAGTTTTCTGTAGCAGCTGCTGTAAATGACATGAAAATGATGATTTTCTCTCCGTGCCCGAACAGTCCATTAACCGCATGCTGTTCCTTCAGGAAAATTCCCATGCTTTAGTGGTCGCATACATCAAGCTCGCCGCAAATGTATTCTTGTGTTAAATTAATGGTTTTCAAGGGTCTTTGCTGCAGACAGAGAGGAGCTATTTTAAACCCCTGACCCTTTTATAGGATTGTCGTGGAAACAAAGTGGAGTGACCTTCCAGGTTCCTGAGTCCAGGCTGATCACTTTGTTTCAGCTAATGCCTGATGGATGGATGTGACTGTTGGCGTAGTGATGTGTCCCTCCCAGAGCCCCCATGTTACCCAGGGTGCAGTTCAAGGCATTAAAGTGTGGGCAGCTGTCACGATGTGCGATGGATGGCCGCGTTCATTTAGCCTTCTGCTGCAGAGTTTCCCTACATGTAACTACAGTGTTTCATACCTCCCTGCTGTCTCCTCAGATGAAGGACCATACTCAAAGGGGAGCAAGGAGTCCGGGGGAGCTGACCAATCACATTCATCCAGGAGGCGCAGCCTTTCAGGTACAATACAGTCAAACCTGACTTTACATCATTTAGTTTTCTGTTTCTGTTGTCTGATTCATGCTACTGCACCTAATTCACCTGTGTCCTCAAAAAGAAGAAGAGGGAGTCATGTCGTATTTGACTGAGATTTTTGTCCGTGTGCATGTAGAGTCACGTGTCTGCTGTATTTTGCTGGATGTTGCACTGTTTTGAATGCTTAGATAAGGTGAAAAAAAACGCTTGTGTGGCATACCTGTCATTGGTAGTAAACCACCCACGGTAGACTTCACTTAGCGGGATTTAACAGCGCAGCACAATGGGGACCACAAGACAGAATGAGTCCTCTGATGACACTATATAACCACATATCCATCAGAGTTAATGTCAAACTAATTTTCATTCACGTAAGAATACAACTTGATTTCAATTTATGGCCTGATGAGTCTGCTGTAATTTTCAATTAGTGTGTTTCTTGTAATAATGCATTGCCTTCCTTTCCATTACCAGATAATGGTTTAAATAAAACACCACACTAAGACTCATCCTCCTCCTCGTTCTTCTGAAGCCGTCACAAAGATTCACTCAGACCGAGAGATTTGAAGGAACAAGGAAAAGACACGAAAGTGAGAAAATAAAGTATGTGGTTGCGTGTCAGAGAGCATTTCAGTGAGAGATTCAGGAAAGAAAAATGAAGAAGGGTCTTTCGTTGCCTCTCAGACAGGGTGATTCTGTCAAGCAGTCGCTAATGCTGACTGTGGATCTGTGCCTTTCTCTGCATCTGTCAGCAGAAGAGTACCGAGGAGTGACCACAGTGGACCTGATGAAAAGGGAAGGCAGCAGCCTTGGCCTCACCATCTCCGGAGGGTCTGACAAGGACGGCAAGCCCAGAGTGTCAAACCTACGGCCAGGTGGGCTAGCTGCCAGGTGAGATCTCTGCTCTGTGATGCGGTTAAAACTTGGCAACCACACCGAGCTGTCCGGACATGTTATTCTGCCCCCACAAATGTGCACGTGTTGCAAAGTTACACCAGCTCACCTTAACGGCAGGACTGTAGGCGTTGTGTTATATCAGCTTGATTCCATCCCACAGACTAATACCCTTACAGGGCTTGTGTTAAATTAAAATCCCCAAGAAACCATAGAGGATTTGTCCATAAATTAAATTTTAGATGTTTTTTGTCACTTCATGCTTAATTCACTGCATGGTGGTAATTATTCAATATAACTCATTTGTGAGGTTGTTTTTTTTACATTCAAAGATGGCTTAATTACAACTCAATTAAACTGATTTTCCCCAAAGTTAACGGCATTAAAATTTTCCTCAACACCAACCTCATGAAAAAATGCAGCAGAAGACTCACGTTTCATGATGATTAAGCAGCGTGTGACTGAAGACTAACACACACACACACACACACACACACACACACACACACACACACACACACACACACACACAGTTTTGTAAGAATGACACAGCCCCTCTGAAAATGTCTTGGCCCAATATGCCATCACTTGTCAAGTCCAAGGAGGTTTAAAGACAGACACTGTGCTAATTCTTCCAAGCAGCTTGTCTTCCCACAGCTGACTTCATGCTTGTGTGGAAGTGCTAGCTAATTTACTGGGTGGAGAGACACACAGGCAGACAGGAGAGATGGGCAGAGACACTGTGATGAGACTGGACCAGATGACAGGCCGGTCAGCTCTGCTGGTTAAGACGTCTGTCTGTCTGTCTGCTGTCAGTGCTGAATGGCAGTAGCCCAAAGGTGAGAGGGACGATCAGGGCAAAACATCTATTTAATTAATTAGTTATCCAATGAGCAGCGTGTTGACTCAGAATGTCATATGTGAGGCACCGTGTCCAGTCATCTCTGTCAGTGTCTGAGGAGGAGAGGCTTTCAGCCATCCCCCTCCGACGTACACTCGCACTGATCTACACAGCTGCCTCTGTATGTTAGTCTGCATACAGCAAAGGGAGTTATAATTACACTACCACAACGTCTGAACACAAATGACTAAAAGCCAGTCATGAAAACCTTTGTAAATATCCAATGCATGGTTCTATCACTGCATCAGTTCTGCCTCTTTTACACCACACGATCATGCAGTAAAAAAATCAGCTGCAACATTTATTCACATTAGATGGTTGCATCTCATTTTGATCATGATCAGATCAACTTGTTTGAGGGGGCTTCAGGCCAAAATATGCTGTTGGGCCCCTGTTGTTGGGCCTAACTGTAACAAACAGTTGGCTTACAGAGTTTAAAAGGCCTTTGTAGCTTCTGCGACATAGACAACGTTAGCATTAGGGCTGCACAATATGCAAAAAAAATAATCATATTGCGATTATTTTGGCAGATATTGCGATTGTGATATGCCATTTCAGTTGAAATGGTCTTTTTTCATTTCACTTTCACTGAAATCTTTTTTAAATGATGATAATGTGATTTTTGTTGGGTCTCATACCAAACAAACATGTTCCTTTAAGTCTGGAGAATATGATTTGTAGGCCGGGACGTCTCTGTAGCGCCACAACGCAACAATGAACAACAATGTTGTGACACATTTTACCCTTTATCAAAAACACTGCAGCTCCTGCGACTCCTTGCAGCTCATGTGATTTGGATATTGCACTTGGACATATTGCAGTTTCCATTATATTTCGTTTAATTGTGCAACCCCTAGTTAGCATCAACAGCTGTTTACTTACCAGTCTTGCCAAGAGATTCAGTCATCGTTACACTTACAGGACAAGAGGTTATAATACACAGTCTGAGAGGTGCTACTTCCTCAGGGCAGACTGGACACTGCAGTGAGGAGACGAACTGACCACGCCAGAGCTAGCTGGTTAGCATGCTAACGTCAGTAGAAGAAAAGAAGTGGTAGAAATATAAAGGCCAATGGAGACAGCTCTTGGCGCAGAAAAGAATGAAGTTTGATGCTTCACTCGTTATTAATCCTAGTGATAACGAACCTCACAAATAGCTACTTCAAAACGATGCGAGCGAAAGTCGTGGCTCCTAAAACCAAAACATTGAGCTGAGAATTGATAAATTGAGGCAGAACACTGAAGTCGTGTCTGTATAGGACGACTGGCAGTCTCTATGCTTCACGATGACTGGCTCATTCACAGCTCTGTGGGAAGTCACATCCAATTAAAATCATGCAGGTGTGCGACCTGACACTTATCACTGTTACTCAGATAACTATGCTCATGCTTCCTCCACCACCCCAACCTCCTCCTTATGTGGTATTTTGTATTGTTGATTTAACTAAGATTCATGTTCATGTAGGTGTTTATTAATATTCAGGCCGATTAGCTCTCTCAGCACAATCCTCCTTGCTGCTCAGATTCATTGAGAGCCCCCTCAAACTACAGAGCCTTTTCTGATAAATTCAACTGTATAACTGTTTGTTATAAATGGTCAATTGCTTCACCTGTGTTCCTAACTGAACAGCTAAAAGTTGTTGATAATTATCAGTGGGTTCATCATTACAAGCCACATCTGTCAGATTACAGATGTTTGCAGTTTTAAGGTGTTGAAACCTGCCCCCACAGTAAGAAATGACCACAAACTCAGGTAATAATTCAGAAATGAGCTGATAGTTGATATTGCACTTTAATAACGCAAATTTGCAACATTACTAACAGCATTGCAATTCCAAAAACCAGTTGACACGCAGTGAATCTGTGAGAGTGTCCGTCACTTTCCACAGGAGCGACCAGCTGAATGTAGGAGACTACATCAAGTCAGTGAATGGCATCAACCTGTCAAAGCTTCGCCATGATGAGATTATCAGCCTGCTGAAGAACATCGGGGAGCGGGTGGTGCTGGAGGTGGAGTACGAGCTGCCTCCATTCGGTAGGTGAAGTGTGCGAGATGAATACACGGCCTGAAAGTCTCTGCAGATTGAGAAAGCCCTGTGAAGAAAATTTGCAGATATTTAGACAAATTTACACTGCTTCTGAAACAAATGCTTTGTATTTCCAAATACAGGAAAACAAGAAATTGGTTTGTAATCAACAAGATTATTAGCTGAGGCTCCAGACTGTAAACAAAACGCACTGTGGCTTCAGACCTGGACATCCATATGATGCAAGTCATGTTGAAGCCACTGCAGCTCAGAAAGACTCTAAAGTCTGACAGCTCATCTCATCTCAGATTTACACTCAACTACTGTGACTTTTCTACATGTTTGCATTTTTCTCTGTGTGTTAATGTGTTTTTCAGCTGCTTTAATATCTTCCCACACCAAAAAGTCAAAAAGGCAATTTATTTATAGAGCACATTTAAAAACAACAAATGTTGACCAAAGTGCATTACAGACATGAAAATTACAGTTCATTAGAAATACAGACATACTTTTTAACATCATTAAGTAAATTAATAAAAGTGTAAGAATCAATGATTTTTGATTAATAAAAAAATAAATACAATAATTGCACAGAGAACAAAGAAATAATGAAAACAAGATGTGAGCAGTCATGGCTTCATGGTGACTGTTGTATTAAGGTGTAAGAATTACTCCTGTCATTTCCAGATCAAAACACAAAATGTCTTTATTTCTACATGTTTAAATTTGATTGAGAATTTTTTTTAGACATTGCTGTTACATCAAACAGTTATTTCATTGTCATTTATATATTTGTGAAGCACATCTGCTCCACACTGAAAAAAATTCATTTCAGTTGCGTTAAAACCACAGTTAAAACTAGACATCTTTAAAATTGTAAACTATATTTAGCTCACTTTTAATCACCAAATCTTAAATGGTTAACATGGGTTAAATACGGAGAATAAATTTCTCCACTGAGGTTAATTACACATTTCACAGTGTTGTGTTCACTGTCATGATTCAACGCTTACAAGACAAAGATAACTTTTTACATTTCTAATACTTCATATATATAATATATAACAATTTGCCATTTTCTCCTTACTCTTAGTCCAGACCCCCTCAGGAGTCATAACAAAAACCATAGAGGTGTGTTTACACAAGGAGGGAAACAGCTTTGGGTTTGTCATGAGAGGTAGGTGGATGGAGTTGATGGGGATATTTCTTTCTAAACCATTCTGTAAAAATAAAAATTAAAAGTTCTAGCTCTTTGCACTTTTTTTATCTCTGTGGATTGTTTTTTAGGCGGCTTCCATGAAGACTGGCGCAGGTCTCGTCCTCTGGTGGTTACTTACGTCAGACCCGGGGGTCCTGCTGACAGGTGAGGACATGGACAGATGACTCAGTGTTTGCATATATACAGTACAGTCCAAAGGTCTGAGACCACTTTCCCATTTAAGTCAATGGCTTGTATACATTTTATGATTTGATCATGCACGAATGAGCCTATTCAGATTATTGTAAGTGTGCATGCATGCGTGTGTATTTGGATGGCTAGACTAATGGGTATGTGTTTTACTAATTGCCTTATCTTAGTCCGCAATGAAAATATAGATAAATATAATATATAAAGAATAATGCATCAAAAGGATTTCAAATCTGCAATATTTGTATGTGCACACTATTATGTCTTTTGCATTAGTGTATGTTGAGGGCCGTGCATGAAACTGTGGCTTCGACACATATAGAGTATGTTATCTTCAAAGCTGAAAGGGCACTGCTCATCCTGAGGCTAATGCAGCACTGCACTCTTCCCCATGAAAACTGCGAGTACCAAAACACTGGAGCAAACATAATTCACCATCAAAGACTTTTACGGCCGTTTATCTCGTTTATCCTTCATCTCACCTGGGAGGGAACACTCATGTGGAACTGTTTAATGATTTACTGTGACTGGTGCTTAGACGCTTGTATGAGCATCTTGTTCTGGTCGCCCATGTTTCATTTTTTTTCTCTTCCTCCTTCTGTGTGTCTCCAGAGAGGGCACTTTGAAGGCCGGAGACCGAGTATTGAGCATAGACGGGATGCCTTTAAACAGAGAGAAGCACGCTGACGCTTTGACCATGCTGATGCAGAGCGGCCAGGAAGCTCTGTTCCTGATTGAGTATGACGTCTCTGTCATGGGTGAGCACACACACACAGGGAATATGTGGAGGCATGGTAGGGCAGCGTTGCTCTGAGGGTAAATAATGTGGCCGTTTGGCTGGATGTGAATGAGTGTCGGTGCTAGAGACGCCACCAGGGGAGTCACTCGGGCCCGAGAGCACACTTCAACAGGGAAAGGGTAGATGATATTCAGTGTTTTGTCATAACGTGTGGCTCTCTCTCCTCTCCTAAATCAAAGCAAGTTTAATTTCAGTTGTTTTTTTGTATGCCAGAGTCCTTGTAGTACTTGACTTTATCTTTCAGGCAGAGTATGTCACGCAGGACAACTTTCAGGAACAGTCAACGTTAAGGATTTTTTTTAACATAACCTCAATAAAACAAGGTTGGAAATGAGCAACAGACATTTTATATTATTGTATTGCACTCCTGTAAAGTTGGGGGATTCAACAAGATACAGATTCATAAAACAATGATTATAATCTAAGCAGCACAGGCTGAGATATCCTTATTTTTAGTTTCTAGGTTGAGTAAAGCTACAAAAATACTGGATCCTACAGTTCCCATAATGCAGTTTGATGGCATGTTTTACATTAACAAGGTAAACTCCCACATCCTTCCACATCCCCAGTATGTAACATAGGCTTTCTGTTTTAAATGTGTAGTCCTCATGTCCAGCCCAGGATAACCCTGATGACATCACTATGACATCATCAGGGTCACTTTCTCAAACATGAAAAGACATTATACAACTGTTTTCACAGCCTTTAGTAGTCATTAGAGGTCTTCACTCAATCCAAACAGGTCTGTGGAAAATCTCCCCAAACCTTTTTGTTGTACGTAAATTAATTTTCAAAAAAGAAAGACCTGATCCAAGGGAGACCCGGTCACAGCCAGACCTGACCCGAATAGACCCTTACAGAGAGAGAACACCCACAAAGGCAATTAATTAACAAGCAGCTGCAGTGGAAAGGAGAAGCTATTTTGATAATCATAATTATAGCCTAAGAAAGAATGTGCAGTCATACAAACTAAAACAATTTGTTTCAAAGACAAATTTATTTCAATAATTGAAAGTCCAATCTCCACTTCCTGCATCAACAATAAAGCATTCTGAAGCCAACTGGGTGATAGATAGAGAAAAGACAACGCTCTAAACTTTTTAATAACTGTAATCAAATTAAAAAAAAACAATGCAGAGCCAATCTGACTGTGGAAATACAGAGTGAATCAAATCACAATATCCTCAACCTTTGGTCCAAAAGGAGTAAAATATGCCACTAAACGCAGGAGCTCACTAAATGATTATTACCTCCATTTGGTCATAGTGAGTAATTCTCAGGATTGCACACTGGTCTGTGCGAAGTAGGGCAGGTCACCGAGGACAGTTGACACACATTATCTCTCTGTATGTGGGAATTTAGGATTCAGACCTCCTGCCTTCAGCCTGAACCAGTCAGAGGGTTCACAGTTATAAGAAAAATGTACTTTAGAACTGAAATCTGGAGAAATAATAGTACACTGAAATAATTAGGCATGGTGTGACTTTCCCCTACATGTCCTCACTGTCCCTTCCTCTGTGTCCACGTCCTCCTCTGACCAAACCAACACATTTTGCATCTTCTCTTCTGTATGAGCATCCTGTTGTCCGTCTGTCTGTCTGTCTGTCTGTCTGTCTGGTCCGTACTGAGTAATTGTGACACCTGCAGGAAGTAAAAACAATTGGTGTAAATGTCTCTGAGACATGACAGTCTAGATGTTGCACATGGAAACTACATTTTACAGCATGTGATAAGTTGCACTAAACACTGAGGATGAACATGTTACTGATTGAATCTGAAGGCTCACTTGTTAGAGGGATGGATTATGAGTAAAACAGGCTCCTGGGCACTGACGTTAATGCCCCCCCAACCCTCCTACATAGGAGCAAGACACCCAGACTGAAAGAGGAACAAACACTCAGATGTTTGCAGTTAGTTTGTGTTTCTTCCTGTTGTTTTTTTTTTTTTTTTTTTAATCCATATTTAGTAGTTTTGCATTTACTTTTGGCTGCTTTGCATCTTGTTCTGGTTGTCTTGCAGCTCTTAGTAGTTGATTTACACCTCTCCGAATGTGAGAATTTACACAATGAGCATGTTGAAAAATATGCTTGAGTGATACAAATCATTTGAAAAGCAATGTAGTCCACCTCGGTCATCGAGGCAAAGTCAGCACATCACTGGATCAAGCAACAACAAATGCATATAGTGAGAGAATTAACTGTGGATTTGAGAATTGTATTGAATTACTTTCATTTGAAAATTGTGCCACAGCAACAGAGAAAAACTGTAACAATGTAAATCTGAACACAGTGTGCTCACCTGTGTTGTGGGTTTTTTTTCCATTGTTGGTTAAGATTGTAACAATTGTAAAGATTATATTGTGTTCCTGGCTATAGATGCATCCAGTGAACTTGTTGGCCTCTATCATCTCTGTGTGTATTATCTGTTTCAGAGGCAGTGCAGCAAGCCTCGGGCCCTCTGCTGGTGGAGATAGTGAAGAGTCCCTCTGCCAGCCTGGGGATCAGCCTCACCACAACAATATACAGAAGCAAACAAGTCATTATTATTGACAAGATAAAGGCAGCTAGCGTGGTGGAGAGGTGAAACCAACCTCTTATATTTCACTGCTCCTCAGATAGTTTCCTAAGAGAAACTTTTCCTGGCACAGTCTGACTATATCTCACTCTCTCAGGTGTGGAGCGCTGCACGCAGGTGACATCCTCCTGTCCATAGATGGGACCAGCACCGAGCACTGCTCCCTGATGGAGGCCACGCAGCTACTAGCCAGCACCTCAGATGTTGTCAAACTAGAGATACTTCCAGCCAGTCAGAGCAGACTTCCTGCCAGGCCACAAGACACAGGTATGTCCTGCAGGTGACACAAAAAACACAGCAAGTCTATGTGAGACAGAGATATAAGACTCTGCAGTGAATGGGGACATCATTTGAGACGAAGCATAATTGATATATTGGATAAAAATGGGGGGCGGCACGGTGGTGTAGTGGTTAGCGCTGTCACCTCACAGCAAGAAGGTGCCGGGTTCGAGTCCCGGCTCGGACACGGGGTCTTTCTGTGTGGAGTTTGCATGTTCTCCCCGTGCTTGTGTGGGTTCTCTCCGGGTACTCCGGCTTCCTCCCACAGTCCAAAGACATGCAAATGGGGACTAGGCTGATTGGTTACTCCAAATTGACCATAGGTATGAATGTGAGAGTGAATGGTTGTTTGTCTCTGTGTGCCCTGCGATGGACTGGCGACCTGTCCAGGGTGTACCCCGCCTCTCGCCCGAAAGGATGCTGGGATAGGCTCCAGCCCCCCCGCGACCCTACTAGAGGATAAGCGGTAGAAAATGAATGAATGGATAAAAATGTGTACAACTATTTATTTTTTATTATTGATTCATTTGTTATTTATTGTTTTGACCATTCAGTTGATCTTTTGTTGTATAAAATTGTCCATCACAAGTTTCCAGTTTCCAGTTTAAAGCTAAAACAGCCTGAATTACCCAACATTTCACAAAAAGAGACAATTAAAGAATAAAGAAAAAAAAAAAAAGATAATTTGTTCTCATGAACCCCCGATTTATATTGAGATTCTTTGGGAGGGGCTCAATCCCCAGGTTGGAAAACACTGGTCTAAACTTCCAAGCTGTACATGAAATAGTTAAAACTAGCTTTATGTTGAGCAGCTACAACAGTATAATTCTGCTTACACATTGCATCAGTATTAGAAATAAAAAAAAGTCATATATCAATCACAGGGAACATTTTACTGCAGAACGAGCATTTAAGTTCATTTTGATGATCATGTATCTGTTCTTTTACTTGCTGTCAGCAGGATTTTTGAATGCAGGACTTTTACTTGTAATGGAGTATTTTTACTCAAGTAAGGGATCTGTGTACCTCTCCCACTGTAATATCAAAATATGTGTATATAGGTCCGCTGAAGTTTTTCATATAAAAAAAATGGAACAATATGACAATTACAAGGCAAACTATACATTGAAATTTTGTACACGCTTGGGTGTAAATATGCAAATGTGCAGGACAAAGCAAAGGATTTACGGGGGAAAATGTTGACTAAGTGACTCATTGTTTTAACACTACATCATATAAATCTTTTGAAGTGGTTCTGTGTGTAGAGAATATACAGAAGAGCTCCAGCATGATGTCCTCACCATATGTATTGTGACTGTTCTGCTCTTAGCTATTTTACCTACAGCTGTAAAGAGCTTGTCTGCCTCCCAGCTGCCCTCTTCCATGTGCTGTGAATCAGCCTCTGTGTGTGACGTGTTTGTGCTTGTATGAGTGTATGTGTGTGCACGCTGCCGGCCGAAATCCCTCTGCCTTCACACTTGGCCTCTTATGCATACCAACGAGCTACACACAAATAGATACAGATACACACACGCACACACACACTTTCTCTGTCAGAGATCATGTTCGTGCCATGATCTGCAGACTTATTTCTGGGTCAGCAGCTGCAGGGACGACATAACATGTGAGCACGGGAAGCATCATACAACATGACAAAGCCGGAGTTCAGTGTTTTCTGGGATCACTGAATCCATTCTTCTATTTTTTTTTTTTTTTTTTTTTTTTTATTTGCCCTTTGTTCATTAATTTGCCTGTTCCAGTCTGCAAGCTAAACTTTCATTTGCCAAACTGCCACCTGTCTAGTTAAATCCTTTAGAGACCAGTATTGGAGTATTTAAATAGTAGTATTTAGTAATAGTAATATTTTTGTATAGGCCTGCAACTAATGATTATGTTCATCAGGCATTACTCTGCTGATTATTTATTATTTCTCAATTAATCAATTGATTGTTTGAGTTGTGAAAATTCAGACAGTAGTAATACAGTAAATGCTGGTAACATTACCCAGAGCCCAAAGTGACATCTTAACAATGTTTGTTTTGTCTAAGCCATACAGTCAAAAGCTCAAAATTCTGAAATAAATATATTAAAATTATTTCAATAATTAAAAGGAAAGGCAGCAAATCCTCACATCTGGGAAGCTGGAACCATAAAACCTTTTATATAGGGTCGTATACGAGGCCATACGGGACTGCACTGTATATACGTTCTGCCGAGTGTCGGCTGGTTTCAGCTCCTTATCTGTTCCCTTTCTCCCACTCTCTGTGCTCACATATACAGTATTTTAATCCAGCCGAAATTTTCAATAAAGCTGTTCTCATCTGCATCTTTTTCTCTTTCTGTTGTCAGACAGAGGCAATGCAATAGTGACTGAAACACGGCCCATTAAGACTACATGTTAACCAGCAGTCACTTCCAAGCTGCTGCTAAAATCCTGATTTTATAACGGCGTCTGATAAAATCACCAAACACATGAGTTAAAGACAACGCTGTGATTGTGGATGTATTTAGAATTTCATTCACATTGTTTATCACAAAGCATCATTTTTTATAAGCTTTTCGTATGTTTTATTCATGAAGTAACTAAAACTGTCAAATGACTGAACTTCAGTAAGACGTACAACATGTCCCTCTGAACTGTAAGTGGAGTAGTAGTATAAAGAAAAAGAAAAGACAAGTATCTCAAATTTGTGCTTAAGTACAGTTCTTGATTAGTTACATTCCTCACATATAGAAATACTCTCCAAAGCTGCTCAGCAAAATTTTTGAACTGCCTTGGTTCATTATTAGTTCACTATTGAACTGTCTCAATAATGTCTCAAAAGTGCAGCACAGGCATCACTTGTCTATAAAATTACAGGCATGTATCTTCTAAAACCTCAATTCAATAATGATTCAGTTCTTGAAAAAGGCGTTGTGACGTTATGATAAGACGATATTTTCACGGCTTCTTTCCCCCCAGGATAAGGTACAATTATAAGATGCAATTTGTCTAATCTCCTCTGGGGATTTAATAAGACTGATATGGCCACTAAGAGATTAGGAGTTAATGTTTCCTTCTACCGGCATAGATTGAAAACACCATTTCTTGGAGAGCTTCCCCTAGGTGGGCTTAACGTAAGCCGGCAGAGAGCTTTACAGGTTTGATTGAGTCAGAAAGAAACTGGTTCTATGAAAAGGGCCGTAGGTTCTCCTGCATGTATTTTGATTATGTGCAGTTGGATTTAACCAGGTCCCCTGAATGTGCGGCAAACACCCCATGCACCACTGTAGTCGTCCATGTTTCCAGCAAATCCTCCATCCATGTGAGCAAGTTGTCAAAGATTAGACCCCTGCAAATGAAGCAGCAAGGATTACTGTCACATGTAACATTCAGTGACAAATTTAGCTGCATGAATCTGTAAAGGAAAGTTAATTATTGAGGTGTGTGTCATGCAGAAGGTCAGCTGTTTCCCTTTGCGTGCTTCATAAATACGGTTTGACTGAATGTACTTTGTTACACAGGCTTTGAGAAGAGGGATAAAACGCCTTTCAGAATTAACAACAATCGCTGCTCTCCTTTTGGTTCAAAGCAGGAAAAGTCAACAGAATCGCAAAAAAAAAAAAAAAACAAAAGAATATGAAATAAATTAAATCAAATTAAAGCACATTTAGGCCAAACTGTTGTCCAATCAGATGCAGAGACAGACATCCTGCATCATCAACAATCAAGCACTCAGCTGTGCCCAATCAAGGTTAAGCCACATGCCTCCAAACAGCCAGTATCTTTTCCTCATGATGCCCAGCGGTCAACTTACTCAGACTGGTTTTGCACATTTGGGCCCTTTTGAAAGTGAAATTATAAAAATGATCTCAAATTTGCACTCAGCTTTTTGGAAGCTTGCTAGTAAAAGTAAGATTTTTTTTTTTTTTTTTTTTTTTTTTAGACCCTGCACCACTTCCCATTCAGCTCCCTGTGTCTAACTGAGTCTCAGATGCTCATCAAAATACATTAAACCACAGGATTTAATCTGGTGTACCATGACAAAAACATTAAATATCAATTACTATGCTCTGAATTATCCTCCAGGCACTGTGTGGTGTGGTACAGATTTAGATACGGGAGTGAAAGCGTGATTTCATGGGTAGAATTTAGAAAACTGACAACAGATCTAGAGGAGTGGATCTGCTTGACTTAATGGATGTGTTTGCCTCCTTGCTGATGCAGTAAAAGTGCAGAAGAGCAACCATCATCACTGGGACCAAAGCAGCAACTACTGCCATCCCCCACATGCCAGCCACAGCAAGACATGGAGCAGCCCAAGCCACCCACACAACCAGCAGGACCACTGCAAATGTAAGTTATCACTAGTGACAGCACTGCTGCTGGCAAGACACCATAGCAGGAGCCTTTTCTTCTGCACGTTTGTTAAATCTTTTTCCAAGAGGTTTACTCCAACACTGTTTCCACATTTCTTTCTTTTGTTCCCATGAGTGTATGCTGCTGCTGCTGCTGTGGATGGATGGATGTGAATAAACAGTCACGGTGATGTTACTCTTATTGTACCAACCTTTTGATACATGTGGTGCTATGTCTCTTTTCAGCTCTGGTGAGTGGTGGCTTCTCCCCTTCCTCCACAGCCACCTCAGGCTTCAGCAGCCAGGGTAGCAACACGCTGCCCTGCCCCATCCCTCCGATCGCTCCCACCAGCCCCCGCAGCTCCACCGGCAAGAGGAGGAACAGGAAGAAGGACCACAAAAGCTCGTGTATGATAAACCTTATACTTCTTCTTCTTCTTCTTTTTTTTCCACCCACATTAAAGGGTCAGTTCAAGCATATTCCTCATTAGTATGCGGTGCACATAGTTTTGGTTTTGGACATATTTACTCAGTTGCCAGTTTATAAGGGTACACCCAACCAAAACTAGTGTTTTTGGTTCCATTAAGTTGTTTTGTTCAATGAATTTCTTTGATGGTGCTTCTGTTATTTTGCCCACCTGTTTTATATCAATCAGTGTATCGTAATATCAGAAATGTCTCTCTGTATAACACAATACTGTTTACACCACACACCAAAATCTCTAAAATGATGATAAAGTTGAATCAATCCTCTCTTTCAACAGAAACGGAGCATTTTCTGCAGGACTGTTGAATTAGTTTTAGCTAGGTGTTCGTAATAAATTGTCAAATGTGCGTATGTTAACAGGATTTCTGCCCCCAATTTAATACAATGGAGATGAAAGGGATTTGTTTGTGAGTACTGAACATGTCTTTGTATATATCTCTGGAAACCAAACAAACACTTTTTAATTACTTTTTGGCATTTTGATACAGTACATTTATTTAAACATAGAAACGTAGAGACTCTCAGGTGTGTATATATACACATATATATGTATGTGTGTGTGTGTGTGTATGTAGATATATGTGTGTGTGTATATATATGTTGCATATATATATATATATATATATATATATATATATATGTACTGTATATCAGTAGACAAATTAATGAAAAATGAAATATGATGATGAATGTAACTGTTAAAGTGAGATAATCCACCTTCACTGTCAGACTTAACAGAGGCTGCTCAGTAGAGAGACGTTTTATTGAAAACACAAGTCGTCCAGCATCATTAGTGGGCTTAAGTTTTAATTTGTTCAGTATGTTGGGTTCAAAACTAATCTCTAATGAAAACTAAATCTAATAACTAGTTTGTGTTTAGAGTTGATTAACATATGTTAGCATGCTGGTGTTAGCATCTAGCTTAAAGCACTATTGTAAAGCCTGGTATTTGAGCCTTTATTTTAGGTTTAAATTTAATGACCTCACATCACAGAGATTTAAGCTGCTCAATTCTTTCTTTTATTCACAGCAATTTGAAAGAGCATAACAGTGGTATTTTAGCCCATTTACTTTAAATAGCGTGCACGTAACATCACAGCTAACCACCTGCTGTGTTTTAGATATTTTAAAGCTTTTTTTTTTTTTGAGAAAATGGTTTTTGCTTTAATTTTGAGCGAGCTGACCCTTTAAAATGTCGCTGCAGAGTGTTAGAACACCTTTCCCTCCCTTTTCGCCCCCTCACTGTGTGAACAGATTTGACTGATCACTGACGTAAACGTGACTGACGTAAACTCTGATAAGTGACTCATTCCCTTTCCATTCCCATGTTGTCTCTGTGGGTGCATGTCTCTTCCCCTTACCCTCCTGCTTTTTTTGTCCCCCATAATCCCTCTCTTGCTCCATTTATCTGCCACTTCTCCACTAATATCTCTCTTTGATGTGTCCCCTCCCCTCTCACCCACAGTATCTCTGGCGTCCAGCTCTGTTGGCCCAGGGGGGCAGATTTTTCATGTGGAAACAAGCGAGGTCGTCCTGAGGGGAGATCCGCTCACAGGTTTTGGGATCCAGCTGCAGGGGGGTGTCTTTGCCACAGAAACCCTGTCCGCTCCCCCAGTCATCCGCTTTATTGAGCCCGACAGCCCAGCTGAAAGGTAACGGGCTGAGACACCTAACGAGTAAACAAATGTCATATAGAAAGTCACCTTGAACTTAGACGGCCTTAGCGCTAATCATTCAGCCTGGCAATGAAACGCCACATGTGAAAAAAGGCTAATTTTAGCCTGGTGTCTCAATGAGTATTTCATCTCGGGGCGGGAGAGCTGCATTTGTCTAATGCAGCAGTGGTTCCCAAACAGGGGGTCTGAACTCACAGAGTGGGTCACGAATCATATTTGAGGAGTCACAAGATGATTAAAAGCTGAAAAACATGCTGTTATGCAAAGTTATTTTTATTTTTTTCATCTAAACTTTGTTTTTGTTTTTTTGTTTTTTTAGCCATGCCAGCCCTAGGGAGAGCACTGTGGGTCTGTCAGTCGGTCGGTCCGTGGGTACACCACTTTTGTCCAGAATTAAATATCTCAACAACTAGTGTATATATTGCCATGAAAGTTTATACAAGACATTCATGGTCCCCAGAGGAAGGAACCTATACTGACTTTGGTGACTTTACTCAAGCACCACTCTACTACCAGTAGTAGATTTATCACACATTATTCATGGTCCATTGATGTTTTTTTTATAATGATTAAACCTGTTCCCCAATATTCCTATGTATCATATTGATTAAGGCTACATGTTACAGTCCAATTAACACACAGCTCTGATCAGGCCAGTGCGCAGTATCTGTCCTTGTCTCGCAAGATTAATGACGGTGTCTGTGCCGACAGCGCAGGGCCATCTCCCCTGGGTCTTGTAACACGATTAGTCCAGGAGCAGTTGGACAGGAGTGACTCAAGTACAGCATCCAACTGTGATGTTGGTGTCTCAGCCTCTACACAAGGTTAATGAGCAGCGGCCGTTAGTGAATTAACAGCAGTTGACAGTGCTTCAGTGTATGCCCTCGCAATTAGGCGTCTGAAAAAATGTGTGATGTGTGTGATTTTCTTTTTTTTTTATTTTTCTCCTATGTGTGAATTTGCTTGCTGAGGTAATGTTCAGGTTCAAATAAGGTCAGTTTTTAATGTGTTCATGTCAAGCCCAGAGGCTATGTATACATATGTTTTTATTTATATATGACATTTTAAACATTCAGCTTATGTGACATGTTGTTAAAGTTAATGACGCTGAACCATTTCACTAGAAGTCTACATTCAAAACCTTGCTGAGGCTAGCACACCGAAACCACTACTCCATCAATAAGTTAATTAACTGACATAAGATTAATCTCCTACTATTTTTGTAGTCCTTTTATGGATCAAATTTTACAATGTTTGCTGCTTCCACCCTCTTGAATATGGGTGGTTGATGTGTTGTGGTATTATAGAATTTTTAATTCACTATCTTTGGGTTTTTAATGAAACAAAACAGGGATAAAAAACAAGTGACATACTTTTTCCTCAGAGAGGAAGTTCTACTGAAGTTCTACTTGCTGATATTTTAGATTATATTTGTAACTGTTTTAACTGGTGCATGAGTGTGCGTGATCTCTGCTTTGTGTGACAACCTTTTTTATACCAAGATGTGTTTTATTTTATTCACCCAACCCATTTATGTCAGTGAGGGTAGGCCAAATAAGAGAAATACCTCTCTGCTTAACACAATACAATTGAATAGCCCCACAAACTACAGCCTCCAAAATGATCATAAAGTTGACTTGACACCTCTCTAACGTAGTTTAAATAAAAACGGCACATTATAACCTTCATCGTGTTGGGATTTATGGCAGAATTTCTAATTAAACTGCATTAGTTTCAGCTAAATGTACCTGATAAACTGACAGCTGGCCATATGTTTTGTTTTCATGTCTCTTGAGCTCCTGAATAAATACAGATAATGGATAAACATAAACATATAAAGCTAAACTAATTTACTCATTCGGACCTCGGGCTCTTTGACATTTTTCAGACTGGGCTGTATTTTTCTGTGTAAAGGTGTGGGCTGCTGCAGGTTGGAGACAGACTGTTGTCCATTAATGGGATCCCGACTGAAGAGGGCACTTTGGAGGAAGCCCATCAGCTGCTCAGAGACTCCGCTCTGTCCAATAAGGTCACAGTAGAGATTGAGTTTGATGTCGCAGGTACCATATAGCACATGTACCGCACTTAAAATTGCAAATATAAAATATTTCTTGCTTTGAGATGGTGTTTCTACTCAAACCTTTCCTTTAAATCTCACTCAGAGTCAGTGGTTCCCAGCAGTGGCACCTTCCATGTTAAACTGCCCAAGAGGAGAGGCGTGGAGCTGGGCATCACCATCAGTGGTGAGTTTTTTTTGGCAACCAAACATACAGCAGGGGGCAGTGTTGCTCAATAATACCCCACAGACCTGCTTACTGTTAGTCTCCTTTTGAATCAATGTTCTCTGATCCATAAAACCCGGGCTTGCAAAAGCATGAGGGCACATACCTCATTACCTCTGAATAATGCTGGCCTGTACTGGCATTCATCATTACCCTTTCTGCTCTAACTAGCTGAGAAAAAAAATGCAAACAGGAAGCCAACTGTGACAAGTGCAACAAAAAGAACAGAAGCTTGACTAATTTGAAATATTTAGAGTCACAGCTAACATGGTTTTTTATCCTGACATAAAAACTCTTCTTTTTGTCAATTTCTCTTCTGTTTCATCAGCAAGTAAAAAACCTGGCAAGCCCCTCATCATCTCTGACATCCGAAAAGGAAGCATAGCACACAGGTATGTCCTGTCATCACACAGAGTTAATAATGTTACTGCTGAATGTTTCGTTGCTCCAGCTCTCACAGCACTAAGTCATATACATTTTCTTGTAAATACAAAAAAGGACCTGTGGCAATGACACAATGACAATATTTCTGAACATTTCACAGCTCAGGGTGAACTCAGTCTTTCCAGGCTCATGTGGGATTATTCATGAACAAAATAAAATTGTTTTGTGAATCCACTGTGTAATACAAGCCTAATTGGATTGAGCTATCAAAACTGGATCAGTAGGGCAGAGCAGCTGCATTTCAGAAGGGCTCAGTGTTGATTAGGTTGAGGGTGAGGTTACGGTCACCCCCAAGGATCCCACTGAGAACACCGGGCTAATAGGATTCTGATAGTGAGTCAGGAGCAGCAGCTCTCTGGTCCCAATTAATAGCTGTGATCCTCTTGCTCTTGTGTCCGGTAGAACAGGCACTCTGGAGCCTGGAGACAGGCTGCTGGCCATCGACAGTGTGCGTCTGGAGAACTGCACCATGGAGGACGCCATGCACGTCCTGCAGCAGGCCGAGGACATGGTCAAACTGCGAATCCAGAAGGATGAGGACAACATTGGTACATTAATCACTTTAATTATTCACATAACATCAATCCAGTACATGAGCAGAGGTGCAAAGTGATCAAGCGCATGTATTCAAGTACTGTAGCGTAATTTAATAGTTTATAAGTTTAAACTTGTCAGATGGTTCAGTTCAAATAACTGTTCACAGCCCAAAGAGGTAAAGTTATCCAGATACTGTCTGACGTTAATAATCTGATGATTAGTTTCTCAAATAATCCTCATTGATTTGTTAGGTCCATTTAAATATCAGAAAATGGTGACAAATGTTTATCACAAGCTCCCAGAGCCCAAGATCATTATCATATAAAATTAAGAAACAAATATTCACATCCCAGAAGCTGGAGCCAGTGAAATTCTGACATTTTTGCTTAAAAAATTATTTAAACAATGAATCGATTGTCAGTATAATACAATTATCAGTATTATAAAACGGGCTATTATTCTGTCATTTCACTAATGAATTAATTGATTAAAGGTTTCCGTTTTACACTGGACTAAATAACGGAACTATACATAAAGTAGTTATAACTAGCTACACCTTGACTAATAACAGTAAAATGCTGTTTATATATTGATGCATAATCTGTACTTTTTTAAATTGTTGTATTGGTGCTTTTACTTAAGTAAAGGATCTAAATACTTCCTCCACCGTTCTATATAAAACGAAACAAATCTCCCTGGACTTAAATAGCTTCTGCACTTGTTCATTTGCACGAATAATTTTCTCCTGAATTGCTTTGTCTTCACAGGGTTCATTACATCTTATGTAATCTTGAATCTTATGGATGGTATCTACTGTTATTTCCATGTGCTGTAGATGAGTTGGAGATGTCAGGCTCCATAATCTACACAGTTGAGCTGAAGAGATACAACGGCCCACTGGGCATCACGATTTCTGGCACAGAGGAGCCCTTTGATCCCATCGTCATTTCTGGCCTCACCAAGAAAGGCCTGGCAGAGAGGTGAGGGAAGGGCGGGGGGAGAGGTGAGAGGAGGATGGGTGGAGGAATGACAGGCTGGGGGTCAAGGTCGTTATTTGAGAAGATGGTGACATTTGACATGGTGACACTTTGGCAAGTCAAATCTGTAGTGGCCCCCTTTTGAATACGGTATTTTTGAAATAAACAAGACAGTAAACAATGGCTGTCTCGTCTTTTCCTATAACAAGAAGCCTCTTTGTCTCTGTCTCAGTCAGCACACTGGCAGCCTGACAGGTTTCCTGGCCCGCCTGTCGGTACTGTCTGGTATACTCTGGTATCTCTGTCTCCTCTGCTCTCCTCACCCTGCAGGACCGGGGCCATCCATATAGGGGACAGAGTCCTGGCCATCAATGGTGTCAGTTTAAAAGGAAAACCGCTGAGCGAGGCCATCCACCTCCTGCAGATGGCCGGGGAGTCCGTCACCCTTAAGATCAAGAAACAAGCCGACCGTATGGTTTTGGGTTTTTTAACTTATCTATTTATTTTTAATTTCTCATAGCAGTGTGAAAAAAATGATCTTGCAAATGTAGTTCCAGCAATGAGTTAAAATAAAAACAAGAAAAAGACAAAGAAAGCAAAAAGGAGAATTTCATTTAAATAAGAGACAGAGTAGATAAGGGCAGATGGATTCATAAGTTACATTGTGACGCAACACTAACATTCACTATTCTGCCATTTTTCATTAATTTTAATTTAATTTAATTAATTCTCCTGAAGACAGAACATCCCCACTGAACAGTGTACAGTTATATATTCCCTTTATTCTTTGCCAATCTTTTACCATACATTGTTCTCCTCTTGATCTCATAGCACAAAAGTAATCTTCCTTTACCTTACACTTTCACTTACAAAGGAGGAGGAAAAGAGAAGGAGGGAGAAAAATAGACGAAATATAAAGAAACAAATGCAAATTGGAAAAAATTAGGTTGTAAAATAGAAAAAGAAAAGTTTTGTTTTTTAAAACAGTGCTTTGATTTAGCGTCTAATACACGTATAGGCAGTGGAAGTGTTTTTATTGTTTTAGAAATGTCAGAAAGTGTATTTCTTCCTAGTTTAATACTCACTTGAGTCAGTGTTCGTTCCCAGAGTCTGATGGCCGCCATCATCCAGACAGAGAAGCCGGGTTTCTAAGTGACACGGAGGACGAACTGACAGGCTCCCAGAAGACCAGTAAACACTCAGAGGTCTACTCTGCCACTGTTCCCAGTATAGACTCTGCCATGAGCTCCTGGGATAGCTCAGGGTTCGACGCAGGCTACAGTAGCCAAGGTGAAGCCCACTGGATGCTTGCTGCATAAAAATGACCCATTTCCTTTCTCGCATCTAATGAAATCAGTGGCTTTTCTTGTTTTGTTTTGTTTTTTTATTTTCCAGGGACATATCTTCACAAGGCATCTGATATATTGCTCAATCCAAATGAGTGGAGGCGCTCAAAGCACAGGAGCCAAACCAGTTCGAGCTCGGCAGGTTTAGTCCACCACACAGTGCTGTATGATGGGAGATTCACTGAGGATGAGTGGGACAAGATACCAGGGTAAGTGCAGTTTTCCCATGTGTCAACATCTTGTTTTATGTCAGTGCAGCTTTAAGTGTTTTTGATTTCACAGCAGAGAACATATTTAATTTAATTTAATTTATATCATATCACATTGGTGGAAAGTTATTAACTCAAGGACTTATGTACTTTTCTAAGATTTTCCTTAAGTTTGTCCATTTTATGCTACTTTATACTTCTACTCCACTATGTTTCAGTGGGAAATATTGTACTATACTCTATTTACTCTACTCTATTTATCTGATAGCCATACTTAGTAGTTATTTTTCAGATTAAGATTTTACATTAAAATGTAATAATTTTATAAGATACAACATAATGTTTAAGATTAAATCCAACTTTTTTGGCTTGTGATCTCTCACAAAAAACTTATTGTCTAAATATCTCAGATAGTTTCATTTAAATACTGGTTTGAGGCCCAAAGAGATTAGGGGGGGGGGGATGCTAACTCGACCTCAAACAGCATCAACAGTAAAAGGCTGCTTATATATTGTTGCATCAGTATTAAAAATCTAATAATGTCGGGGGACATTTTTCTGCAGAATGAGTACTTCTACTTTTGAAAATTCAAATGTATATAGCTCATAAAACCTCTGAGCCTTTAATTAAGTTGTTTGAATACATGACTTTTACTTTTAATTGAAACTTTTACTGCAGTAAAGGATCTGAGTACTTTTTCCACCACTGTGTAGAAGTAAAAGCTTCTTTCTTTGGCCCTTTTTGAATTCATTGACAAAGTCAAACTGTTGTCTCTGAGTTATTTTCTCTTCATTTTGTGTTGTATGCTTTCACATTTTGTGCTTTTCCAAACTGTCCTTTTCTCTTCTTTCTCAGGTATTCTCTCTCTCATCTGCTTTACTAACTGCCCACGAGCTCTTTGGTGTTTCACATAGATACATCTTTTTCTGTCGCCCCTTGTCCACACCAAAAACGTTTCCTCAGAAAAAGCAACTAAAGCGCCCAAGGATACATCAGCCTTATCTGTCTCTTCACACTTGACTTTTTTTCCCCTGAACTTTTGTGTCACATGCTTTCAATTTTCTGCTTTTTTTTGTGGGGGTGACGTTACTTTTGTAAACTTGAACTCTTTTAAAGGCTTTATCTAATCTAGCGGACTCCTCAGCGTTTGAGCTGCCACAAGTGAGAGAATTTACAATAAAACCTCACTGAGGTCCTGAGAGATTTTCAAAGGGACTCTCCAGCGTGCAGCCCAAAAACTGCATTTCCCATGCTGCCTTTGTACGCAGTACCGGCCTCCAGACTGCAGGGCTGCTCTCATGTTCTGGTTCCTGCATTGTCATAGATTCATCAGCCCCCCTCGTTGCCATGGCACCCTGAACCAGGACGACAGCTTCTGGTCCCAGGCTCTGCAGGACCTCAAGACCTGTGGCCAGTCAGAGATTCTCAGGGAGCTGGAGGTAGGGCGACCCCTCCTTTTCCGGTTTCCTCTCCTCCTCCATCTGCTTTGTCCTACTCATGTATTCATAGACCAGTGTCTGCCTAAATGATCATGCCAGATGAAGCATTATGATAATCGTTAGAGTGTGTAATCTGTTATTAAATCTGACAAGACAGGCTGGGCACCTGCTGCCATACTGACCGAGGAAGGCATTTGCACAATGCCTCTGTCCCTAATCAGGCAGTTTTTTCTGCAGGAGAGATTATACATGTATATGTGTGTGCTTTTGCTTGTCCAAATAATGTCTTCTTTTTTTTTTTTTCTTTTTAATACATGACGCTCTAATAATCCCTTTTCATTTTGTGCTCTTTCAGGCATCCATGACAGGTAGTGCACTTAGTCTGTACCTAGAGGAGACCAAGACTGATGAAGATGTGATGTTTCAGTCTGAAATTAGTCCCATTAAGAGGGAGGGAATCCATCCCGAGTCTGAGAACAAAAGCAACCTCAACATGTCGACTGGAGCCAGAGACATATCAGCCAGGGGCAAAGACGACCCCTGCGATATTTTGTCCCCTACAACTCTGGCACTGCACAAGGTAGTACAGTTAGGGAGTGGACATTTCTCGTCAGAATAATGAGTTTAAAAATATACAACAAAAATTGTTGGGAATTACAGGGTACAGACAGGGGACCAACAGGTTTATGCCACATTCATATCAAATGATTTTAAACTGTAATTACAAGCAACCCAGTGGGAAGAAAACGTTGACATCAGCCTCCAACTTGGAATCGTTAGTCAGACGCCAACAATGTCTCCCCCAAGACCAACACACATGTAAATAAGCTGATGGCTGTTACATCAAAAATAAAATCCAGTGTTAACACTAATATAATCAATTCAGCTAATTTCATAGGATCCATATACTGTTTGTTTGTATCTGGTTTCACTTGGTAAAAAAACTGCTACAAATGCACAACATAGCAAAAGTAGATTACATTACATTGAATCCCAAAACTACATTTGTATTCTCCACTATATAAAGGGTGCACCCGTCTTCCCAGATTTATTCTAATGTTTTGATCCCCAGGACGATGATAGTGTAAATTAAAACTATAAAAGCATTCCATATTTAAAATTTTTTTTACCTGGTTTATGATTTATACCCTTTTCCCATTTTCCCTCCCTGTTTCACCTGGTAACAATATTACTGTAACCTGTAATTGAGTTGGTACGCAGTAATCTAAAAAAATACTTGCAAACAGTGTAATGTATTAAGTCCCTCTTCAACACAAAGTTTTTACTCTTTTCAAAATCTAACCACTATTCTACTTACCTTGAAGCTACCCAATAAGTATTTTATACATACCTCATATGTATTATATATTCCACTGTAATTAGCAAGCTGTAATCCGAAGCGTTACTGAATCATCTATATTATTATTGACTGATCAGTCAGCTGCACTCACTGCTTGGTGAACAAGGTACAAACAATAGTGTCATGAGGGAACTTCCCCATTATGAAGTTTATACCTGCGTGCATCCTCCACTTAACTCACCGCACCTGTCAGTACAGTATAACTGGACCCAGTGGATACCTGGCCAGTCAGGACTTGCACCGTGTGATGACAAAAACACAACAACACTCATTATACAACATTACCTGAGCCAGGTGCACATGCTGTGAACCCAGACTGCGTCAGTGTACTGTTTGGTGGTGACTGACTGACTGGGCTGACACTGGGCCAGTAATAACAGAGCAGCTCACAGTCCTGCAGTGTGGAAATTAGAAATATTTTCAGTTGACACATCTTTTATATCATCATGGAAAGTCATCGGAGCTTGACGTGCAGTGTCGTCAAAGCTGTTTCTTGTTTGGTTATGGTTAAACTGCTGACCTTGTTAATGTGGAGCTCCAAATCCAAACTGAAACAAATAATACAAGGCATGTGGCTGTGGATACTGTAACTATTTAGTATATACAGGAGGTGGACAATAAAGGAACCTGTACATTGCAAGGAAATACAACATCTGTGTGACAATTACTACAACTGAAGTAAAAACTTGTATGTGAATGTTTGTGGGCTCATATAAAAAACCTGATATGCCATACATTTTATTTTATGTGCACCTTGTGTTTTCAAATTTTAAACATTTTGGGAAATACACTCTCTTGCAAAAGGTAAGATGAGAAGATCGATACCATTATTATATCTGTTTGTTCAATATGAAGCTGTGGCCAGTAGCTGGTTGGCTTATCTTAGCATAAAGACTGGAAACAGGGTTGAAATGGCCGACCTGGCTCTGTCCACTGTAGCTCAATCCGCTGTAGGAAGTCACTGCACACAAGAAAGACAACAAACTACAACTTGTTATTGAGCTTTAGAGGTACCAGTAGTTAAATTTTGTTTCTTTTGGATGGAGCTGGGCTAGCTGACCTGCCTTTTATGCTAAGCTATCCATATCATGTCTGTATCTTTGTATTTAATGTACAGACATTTAGCTTTCAGCAAGAAAGCATGTCAGCATATTTCCCCAAACTGTTCTTTAAAATACATGCAATACAACAGAACTTAACATTTTTACTATAAAGCTTATTTAGAAATTAGATGCAGTTTGAAAGTTGCAGCCATTTAGGAGGTAGCAGGAACTAATGAAAGACACCATTGATTTTCATTGTTACATGTTTCAGTAAGATCCAATTGTTTTTCTTTTACTTATATGGACTAAAGGTCACAATGTCTCTAATCTGTGTAGAAGATATTTATGATAATGTGCTGTGTTCTACAATCTCTGATCTGTGCCCTGTGTTTGTAGGTGACAATGAGGAAAGACCTTGAGAGCCATGACTTTGGTTTCAGTGTGTCTGATGGGCTCCTGGAGAAAGGGGTTTATGTCAACATGATCCGTCCGGATGGACCTGCCGACCTGGCGGGTTTAAAGCCTTTCGACCGCATTCTTCAGGTACTGTTTATGTTTATAACTCCCATCTTCAAAGGAATAGTTCCTTTATAGGAATATTTTGGGAAATACTTTTATTTGCTTTCATTCCAAAGATCAATACCACTCACATCATGACATCATGGTTATCTCAGTTTAGCATAAAGACTGAAATGGCTAGCCTGGCTCTGTGCACTTCTAAAGCTCACCAATTAGCTAATCATGTCTATATTGTAAATACAAGGCTACAGCCTTAGAAACGGCTAAGAAGTAGCATGTATGCTATCTCAACATAAAGAATTATTGTGAGATTATTGTGGTGATGTCAGGCAAACAGCAGATGGCCAAGAAATAATCTGGCACATTCATTGCTCTGCTGTTATTCCTGCTAAAAAATAAAATGAAACTCTTGCCAATAGAGCAATAAGCAACTATGATGTGTTTTCATTGCTTCAAATCCTCCAGGTGAACCGTGTGAGGACCAGGGACTTGGACTGTTGTCTAACTGTGCCCCTAATTATGGAGGCTGGAGACAGCCTGGACTTGGTCATTAGCAGGAATCCACTGGCGGCAGCAGACACAGGGCTGCCCGACGACTGTGATGACCCTTCAAACTCACTGTTCTGCTTTCCCGAACACAGGACCAACAGCATCGCCCTGTGACCACAAAGACAGACACTAGCTTTTTAAACACTATAGCGCTGGGTCCACACACACACACGCACACACACACACACACACACACACACACACACACACACACACACACACACACACACACGTACGTCGTGCACAGTTAAGTTTGTCACATTGTACCTCTGAGAGAGACCTTCACACTCATGTTCAGCACGTAGAGCATCCTCTCACATGGGCAAACGCAAACAGCCACTCTCCACCGCCTGAAAGCATCTCTCACTCACTAAGTTACAAGTGCATGTGTTCACTCTTGCCGGTTTTAGTCACTGTGTTCACATGATGCAGTTCAGAGGAGGCTCTGGCTTCGGGGAAGATTCCCCACCCCACCCACCCTCCCCCCCCAACCCCACCACATCCCTTCCTTTTCCAGAGGCGAAGCCACATGTAGAGTTATATAACAGGGGAGTCATAGCTTCTGACGGAGCCAGGATGTCAACACACACGTCTCCGCTCTGGAGAGAGACCAACACTGCACACATGCACTGCATAAATTTACAATCTTTTTGCTTTAATGGGATTCATGTTCTCATTGAAAGAACATCGACCCAGTTGTATGAAGTGGATTTTCTTTTCTTTATGTTGTACACAAAACACTCGCATGCAGTGCTTTATATACATATAAAACACAAACACTGACACATAGGGTGTAAGTGGATGAGTTATTTCAGCCACGTCTTGGCTTACTGCCCTCGTTTCCAGTCTCTCCTCCACACTGCCTGCCCGAGAGAAGGGACAGTGCCTCCAAATAGACAGAATGCTCTCTGCTACTTGCCAAGTATCATTAACTGTATTTTAAAGCCCCTTATATCTTTATACCATGAATGCTTGTGAAGACACTCTACCCTTTCTGTTTTAAAGTGGGTCTCCCTTGAAGGATTAATAGTTTCTAAATGGTTCCAGAGAAACTCGGGTGTTCAGAGATAATGTTGCATTTTGGATGTTCTTTTTTTTTTTTTCTTGTCACTGCCCTGATGACTCAGACACACGTTTACAAAGATATTTGTTTCAGTTCCACGTTCTTCACCTTTCTTTGTACCACTGCATTTGCACATAAGCCACATTTCTCTATTATGATCAAAGAGTTCAAATCTCCCTTTCACCTTTTCACTTTTCCCTTTCACTTGTGTGAATCTGAGTCTCTGTATGTGGCATCGCACCAGAATGAATTATAGGTCAGGTCGTGGTTTATCACTGATGCTTCCTTAAGTGAATCACATCCTTTACCAAAACAGGGGATGAAATGCCTTTCAATTTTCAGTGATGAATGATTTCACTCCACATCTGACTGGGTTGATCATCAGTGTGTTTCACTCTGCAGTAGCTGTTTCTCCTACCGGTATCTATAAGCATGTTAAGCATGCGTAAGGTTTGTCCTCAGCAAGTAGCTCCTCCTTGTAACAAAAAAAAAATACTGGAGCTTCTTCTGTTTGCTCCGACTGGATCTTTGTGAGAGTGCTCCCTTTTTTAATCATGAAATTGTGTTTTTATAAAGCATTTGTGTAACAAATCTGGCCTGCTTATCAAGCTGCCTCTCTGGAAATAAGAAACATTTATTTCATGTCATGGCTGAGGTGAACATGTGAGATAGTTGCACTTCTTCAGAGCAGCCTTAGAGACTGATTCATCCTTGGGACGGTAACTTTTTTCAATCAGATTTCTGACTCATGTCTTTTATTAAATGTCATGTTGTATACTGAGGCCTATTTTTAAGGTTTTGTATTTATTTGCTGTATTGTACCTTTATTTTACCGTATAATGTATCATGGTATGCAGTGCTTTATTTTTATTTACAGTACATGCACATACAGTGTAGTATCTTCATGTAAGCTGTGATACTGAATGTGGCTGCACATTTTTTGGTTGATTTCCACGTCCTCCCTGAATATGTCAGGAATCACTTCAAAGGAACTTGAGAGATTTATTGGATATTATTTTATTTTTGTTATTTAATTTATTATAAACTAAGAAATGTATTTCTTTTTATGAGAATAAAGTTATGAAACCATGGATGATTTGGCTCTGTGTGCGTTGTTTAATTTGGCTCTCCCCACAGAGATTACTCACACTGACCCTGAGTGTGTCAACACTTGGGTGTAATGCAATGATGGAGTGCCATGAAATTTTCTTTAGACATTCTTTATCTTCATCTTACTGATGAATTGATCCACTAACTTTTCTATAGTGTCACCATGACATTGACAGTTTGGTTTTGAGAGAGAAGTCTCGACAGATATTACATGGATTGCTGTGAAATTTGGTTCAGACGTTGTAATGACATGGTGATGTATTGATCACCTGACTTTTCATCTAGTATCGGATGAACATTGGAATCTGTCCAAAAATTTGGTTTATGACTAAATACTTTGAGTTTCCGATCAACTGTACACCATATTTAGTGCCAATGTTAGCATGCTAACATGCTAAACTAAGATGGTGAATGCTACTAAATGCCATCGTTTAAACCTTAATTTCAAGCAGTCGATATTCATATCAGCCTTTGAATTCTGACTCATTGTATTGGAAATTTCTGACACTGACAATAACTTGAAGAAATTAACTACAAACATGTCAACAAACTGTTGGCATTTACATCAAACTAAAATCCAATATTAACACACATTTATTTTAAATTCAGCTAATTTTCTGGGAGCTATAAACTGTTTGATGATTGGTTTCACTGTATTTGGTTTAAAAAAAAACTATGTTCAGCAAGTCTGCATCAAACACTTTGTTTTATTAAACTTGATGTGAAATATGAGCCTCTCACTTGTTGCTTCACAGAACTGCATCTCCAAGCCAAGGTAACGTGATTTCACACAGTGCTATCCCATTTCCATGAGGCATATGGAACCTTTATATCCTCCTTCACTTGCGTTGATTAAGCAGATGACATAAATTTCAAGGACTTGGGAAGGACAGTGGGACACCAGAGACATGCCCAAATAAGCCAGTTACATCTTTGTAAGTGAGATGTCAATGCAGTTCCCAGCTGCTGAGGGGGCGTTAGATTGATGGTGGGACGGACACCCTGAAAAATTTAGGACAAGTGTCAATGAGCTGAGAGGTGGGAGTGGGGATTGCATTGGTGGCCTTGAATTGAGGATGTTTGAATAAATATAGATAGCTATTTCAAGAGCGGAATCAAGATGTATTGTGATTTGTACAAGTGGTGCTTACTCAAAACAGACAATATTGATGAAGGGTGGAAGTAGAAGCAGTTAGATATGCCACCAAAAGTACAGGGACACTGTCAGATAATGGAAGGGGCTTTGGGAAAATCTCTCAAAACTCAGACGGGAATGTTGTGGCAGAGAAATCGTCACCAGTGCCAGATGGGTTCAGATCCTCAACCGTATGATTTGTAGACTCAAATAAACCCAGTCTTCTGAGTTCAATGTGAAATAGGTTTTACTGTGAGTCAGAAAGACCAATAAAACGGTTCTGGTCCCCAGAGAGGAAACTGAACTGTCACAGTTGTACATACATTTTTATATCCGTATTCTCTCTTCCTATTGTGGGCCTAATTCTGAGTACACGACTATCGTTACACTCTTTTGACCTGACTGTCGCACCAAGACACCATTGTCTGCACATTTTGGGTACTTTCCCACCTTATTCAAAAATTAATGGTGTCTGACACACAGTTGCTAATATCAAAAAGGGTTGTCCAATACAACACCATCACTAACTATGACCTCACTGCTAAAATATGAAGATTAGTGAAAACCTCTATGACAGTCTCAACAAAATGGATCATTACAGGCATCCTGAAAGTTGAATTTGTGGCAGAACAATAGTATTGGATTGCATTACTGCCTCACTGTGCAGGTATAATTATGTATAAATACCTCAGAGATATTTTGAGAGGAAAAGAATTACAGACACAAATAAATCCAAAGAAAAAGATGTTTATTTGTAATCTCTATAGAATGATGCAATGTGCATCTCAATGGGGACAACTGTGAGACAAAAATACTTTGGTACACTTGAATTTCCAAGTAGCACATGATTTTTATGGACAAAGCAGCACAGTACTGTGGTGACTCCTGCACATGCTTCAGGATAATGATTCCTTCTGACTTTGCATTTAACTGTACGAGTTGTTTGAATTTGTTGATGCTTTTTGAATGAGCAGAGAATGCCATTGCTTCAATGAATATTGCACACTGAAAAATGTAATCCAGGCTCACAATGTAATCAAGATTTAGAAAAGAAATTGCTGAGTTTTCAGTAAAACAATTAATCAGTGATGATGTTCATATGATGTACAGTATAAAATTGTTACAAAAAGGCATATGTGATTTACAAACAATTCAAACTCTACATACAAATGTCTAAAGTGAACATTAGAAACTAGAATCCAGTGGTAGTTCTGCTACTGAAATGAGCACAATGGAGAGAGCTGTCAGGATTGTTTAGAAAAAAATGTTTTTACTTTTAGTGATGTTCTCACAGGTCCTACTACTAATTTTGAATCAGAATATTTGACATCAGATTTCTACTCTTCACTGTCTTAGCATGGAGACAACTAGATACTGTATATCAAAGTTTACAATATCAAAAAGTTAGAAGCTAAAAATATTTCCTCCTGAAATATGTTGCAAATGTAACTGCAATACCCTGCAACAATAAAAACAAATACTAAAATAAAGGTGAAACGACATATAAAGTGCAAAGAGAGGTTTCAATAAATGCACTGGGACTGACTATGGTAGTCACACAGGCAGTGTACAAATACTCTAAAAATGCCACTTCCCATTTCTCTTTCTTTCTTCTTTCTTAACTGTTTATTCTTCTTCATTGTTTTTATCTCAGTTGTTTTTTTAGGATGTATCTTCTTATGAATGCATTTCTCACCGTATTTGGCCAAGGCCTTGTTGAACTTGTAACTTAAAGGGTGTCAGGCTAAATTAACTCTATAAAATACATTTCGCCACTGACCATGTTATAGATATGTACTCTGAGAG